GACATCAGTAATTATGATTTTTTTTAAAATAAACTATGTTGCAATGATGTCTGTGTAAGGGTCATTTTTATGGTAAATTGACTACAAATGTGGTGTTGTCTGGGGTATCTATCCCACCAACTGGGTTTTATCGGTCAAATTTGCAGTTACGTAATCAAAATACCGAACTTACATTTTTTCCTACACAGTATATTTTAAAAAGAATTTAAATACGTCACTGTCGACGAATGTACCCGGTCTTAATTACACATTACATATTTTTCTCTTTTTTTCGCTTTCTCTTCTCTCTTAAATTCTCGAACAACCGAGGCCATCAATGGGGTTGTTTAATTTTCAACTACCATTTTTATTTTAGACAGGTGCACTATTCCGATCTTGTTTCAATTTATAAAGAACATCTTATTTGTGATGTCCCGCCGAGGCCTTGACCACGTGTATCAGGGAACTCACGATTCTGACGTCTATACTTCTCGTTTAAAATCAACACAAACATATCTGACGTAACGTGAAACATGACATTTGAAAATAAAATTTTCGTGTGTGTCAATATGACAAAATGTTCGTACCTTGAAATATTACGATGTTCGCAGTCGGCGTTAAAAAAAATTCTGAATAAAATCGGTCTACCAGCAGCGTCTGATGTAATAGGATAGGTCCCAGTCTGGATTTACTCCGATTCAGCATTTATTTTTATATTTTGGCATCGTTGGTAAACAGCCGAGTTCATGTAAAATGGGACAAGCATCTCTAACTAGCATTGACAGCTTGCTTTGTCAGCTGTAGACTTAAGGAACTGTTTAATGAGTTAAAATTAGCTGCATGATATAAAGCATCTCGAATCTATTACAACGTCTTTTAAGTATTATAATCACTTAACAAACACATATCCCATGTGCGAGACGGTTCTTTTCACAAAAAAACAACCCAGCATGTTTTGATGTTTATTAATAACCTGTAAATTCGTGAAGCTAAGTGACGTTAAGTTGACAATACCCCAGTTCACAAGTTCACACATCAACACAGTTTTTCCTCTTCGACATAGTTTTACACCTCGACACGACTTTAAAACGTCAATTAAGAAAACGGAGGGAATTGAGTACAAAGCAAACGAAATGCAGTATGACCAACCTCTTAACCCACTTCACTTCAAACCCAGAATGAAAACAAGTGCATTGGAAAAGTAAACAACTCCTTTACTTCAGGAGGCCGCGATGATGTCGTCAGACAGCTCCAGGGTTGTATGGGGGTCCACAACGATTTATGACCTAACAATGAACCTTTGCTTTTTCATGGCAGACACTCGAATTTGACAGATGATGCATACTCGTTGGCCTAGGTTTGAAACCCATATATAAATCCCTGAATACATGTTTTGTTCGTCTACGGGTGCTTCTACCCAGGGAAATCACGATTCTTGTAACACAACACTGAATCCAATGTATTCCTGTTTTTAACATGCGCAGATCTGATGCCGACTTTATAGTGGTATCTCACTGAAATACCATGCCAAAGGCACCCATCACAGCATTCCGCCCGGTCACATTATACTGATAACGGTCGAACCATTTGTTGCCATTTCCATAAATGCTGAACGTTAAGCAGGGAATAACAATACCATTTTTAAGGACTTTGATATGTCCCGGCCTGGGAACAGAACGCATTGCTTTCCTCATCTTGGCGAACGCTCAACATTAAGACCAAAAGTGGGGTGTTGCCAAGCAAAGCGCTAGGAAATAAAAGGTAGTTAGAAGTAGAAAGAAAGATAAAGATCCCAGTTATCGCAATGGGTGCAGCAGATTTATTTTGGTTGCTTTTGTGTCACCAAATAGAGGACACCAAAACAAATCCACAATTCTGTAGGGGGTTTACACATTAGTAGCCTCTTACGATATATGCAGTGGGTAACAGCAGGTGTATTCTTTTCCCGATCTCCCATCCAGGAGATTTGGCATTACAAACAGAGACATTAAGCCGCATTTTCATAACGAAATGCGTGAATATCGTCTGTTGTGCGCTATTTGGATGAAATAAACTAACCACTCTCCAAACTTGAAAGCCTCCGCATGCAACAAAATAAGTAATTGCCATACCAGTGTTCATTCGTAGAAAGGATTTTTTGTTTGTCACATGCGAAGGCTTTCATTTCGGCATACTAACAGTCCCAACACACCATATTTTTGCTATTTCTGCAGAGCAAGGCAATGGTGGTGCTATGATAAGTTATCCACGCATGTGCAGTTGAAAATATATGCACCAAGAAAGATAGCCCCAATTAACCAATATGATGTTTATAACAGAAAATGGTAAGTAAATTCAAGTTGAAATTTTTACTTTTTATGAGACCAAAAATGACCCATAACGCCCCAAGTCCTTTCATTTTATCTTACATAGTGTACATAGTGTAGATATATCTTAAATATTATGCAAGATATCCTATATACCTTTTTAAGATATTTCGTTTAATTTCTTTATGAGATATTTACTACATTTGATATTTAATATATTATATAAGATATCTGATATATCATAATTATACGGAATATCTTACATACTATATGATATATCTTATACATTATACAACAAATCTATATTATATTAGCGATCTCTTTTGTATATAATCGATCTTATATGATATACATATACTGTCAGTTATTTAATTTGATGAACTAACAGGATCGACATTGCTCCTTGAATAAATGTTTAGCTAGCTTGCCATATTATTTATTATTCGTGTTCTGTAGTCACCCGATACCCCGATGGGGGCCTTTAGTATGTTACAAAATAGTTGCTAGAGTCGCGAATTGACAGTGAATGCCGAGAAAAAACTATGAACGATAGAGAAATAAGAATCGTTGTGTATGGTAGTGAGATGACCAGTATTGTCTTACAGTAGATATATGTCGTAAAGTTTGATAGTGATTTGACCATTATTGTCGCTCTGTAGGTAAATTTCAAGGTTTGGTAGTGAGTTGACAACTATTGTCTAACTGGAGGTAAACGTCAACATTTGATGCTTATGAAAACCTTGTGGTGTCAATTTCCAAATTTGCTGGGTAAATTAGACCTCTTTTTAAGTGTAATTATAGGGTCTCGAGGTTTCTCATTTCCCTTCTCTAACAAAACTTGTATAAAATCAGCCTCAACCGGTAAGTCAGAGGTGGAATATCGATAATATGCTGTAATATTATTCAGCAAATCAACAACAACCAAAAAGCCGTTTCTGTTGTGAAAAAAACAAAACATTTTTAGTTCGCCACTTTAAGACATAAAGGACTGACTAACCAACATGTCAGATACGATTTAATCTTCGTTAAAGGAAAGGAGTTTATTTTAGACAAAGATGTTCTCAAGAAAATCTAAAGAATTTCCCTAAAGGTGGGGTCAACATTTGGCCCCCACTTTGATTTCTTTTATTCTTTTGCCATATGTAGATACATAAAAATGATCAATAACTTCATAAAAGATTATTCATAATTACTACTGAAAACCATAGTGGACCTCCTTGTATAACACCAGGCTGTGTGACGGGGGCATGTTAACAAAATGAAAGATAAATGTCACAGGCAAATGTTATTTTGCAAATGAATTATGATTGTGTACAGTGTATTAGATTGCTGTTATTTTGATACTAAATATGTCATATTGGTATACATGAAGTAGCGTAGTGATACTTTTAATTAGAAAAACCTGCTAATTATTTACAAAATTTAAAATATAACATATAGTTACAATGGTAGTCTATATTTTAAACTTCTTTAAAATCTTTCTATATATATATTCTGTCTACAGAATCTTTTTTATGTGATATTAATACCGGTAAAGAACTTTTTTACCATGTCACACTCATGTTTTAAAGTTATGTGCAGCAGTAATAACTTATGAATATGTATTCTGCCAAAATAATCTTTCCTCTTGAGAACTACTTAGGTTGAGATTGTGTTATAGACAAATATATGCAATTATATAAAAACACTAAAATAATCTTAAAAGTAAAACTCTAATAAACTTTATTATACTCCAACAACGAAGATACGGGCTTGTCCGTCCGTCTGTCTCTCTATATGAAACGTTTGTACGGACATCTTCAAAAGTAATGGACCAATTTCAACGAAAGGTTCCAGATATGATATAACTACCACCTGAAGTTGTGTATCCAGGTATTATTTTTATCATTCTAACCCCTTTTTTACACAGTTATGTTAGCCAAGATAAACCGGTTTTGCTGAAATATTTACTTAAATAATTACTGATGGGAGACTATGGATTACTTTGCAATGCTTTGCATTAGTTAGCCTTTAACTTACAGTTATAGTTATTATTTTATATTGCCTATTGCCCATTCATTAAACAAAATATGAAGGATTATTACATTATTTTATATCGTTAACTTTAAACAAATAAAGCAAGGAAAGATATCCTTGTCTTAATTTCCCATACATTTTTTTTATTAAATTTGTGAGTTTTGTGACCTTTAACGAAGGTCAAAGTGATCAACGTTTACAAAAAACTTCAATCCATTCACATGAACAAGCTACTTGCCAAATATCAATACCAGGGAACCTTCGGTCATGAAGAAACACAAGTTAAAGGAAAAGTGGAAAGAAAATTGTTTTTCTTTTTTTTGAATCAAAAATGTTATATGACAAAATTACGGTTGTTGAAAGATATTATTGATAGTCAAATTTTAAGCAAATATGAAAAATAGACTCGTTTTTGGAACTATGTAAATTAATGTGTCAAAAATAGAAATTTTCTCATTAGTAATAAAATTTTACATATTTTTCTGCTCAAATCTTTGATAAAAATAGCAATTCTTTCTTGAAATAGTGAAATATTCGGTGTCAAAATACCAGTTGGAATATGTTGCACACGATGATAATATAGTTTTATAGTAATTGTGTCATTTAAATGCTATAGGAGGAATTGTATGGTGTAAGTCAATGAGGTCCCATTTATCATAAAATTTATTCTGAAACTAACTGTTCCTGATTTAAGCTTCCTCTACCCATACCTTTTTGTTTTTTTGGAAATTTCAAGCGGGGGCCGACGCTTATGTTAAATCTCCATAGGCGTAGGCCCTACCTTTCAGAATTGGATTGATGACACTTGTCAACGAGCAAAATTAAGGATGTAATATAGTGGTGTTTACCAGTGTTATAAAAAGCTTTGCCATTTGGTATAACTGCATGCTTGTCTTGGAGAAGTGATGCACTTTTAGTCATTGACAGAAGAGTGTAGGAAAGCAATCCAGTTCACCCTACTCATATATCCGTATCCGTCTTCGCCCCCCCCCCCTCCCCCCTCCCCCATTTTCTAGAAAACTCAACACCAATGAATCTAATATTTTGATATATTGCCTCTTTGTGAAACAATGGTCCAATGGTCATACTTTGCCTCCGGCTTCTATACTATTACATCACAGTAGAACACTATGAGGCCATATACAGTAAGGAAAACTAGAAACATAATACACCACGCGGAAAGTGTCATACTAGATCTTCAAATTCAAAACGAGCACAAAACACGATAAAAGTTGTGACCACAGGAGAGGACGAGACATCGTTGCCATGGATACTGCGCCATCACCCGTTTTGTTGAGAGCTGGAACAGTTTCCAGCCAAAATTTCACCATATTTCTGTGTAGATGGTCCCTTATCGTAAGGTTGAGATCAAAGTCCATGTACTGTTCCTGTTCTTGCTCAAATTGTGGCCACACTGGAAGTGATGTACTTGTGGAGTTGTCGCCATTTGGATTTCTGCAAAGTATGTATACAATACATGATGATCCGTGCAGATGTGGAAATACAAGTTATAACCTAGAAATCTGAGAGCACGGAATCCCCAAACCGACAGATAGACAGACGTTACTTGATAGTTTGGATTCCACGAATGGACAATTCGACAGATAGACAGACATTATTTCGTACGCATTAATCTTTCTCTTTCTTGAAAGTATGATAACATTGTCGTAGTAGTAGGTTTGACGTTGCATGTTAAGTCATAATTCTGAATTCTGGTTCTTCCAGATTGAAGAGTTAATTGGTTAAGAGTATCATATATTAGGCAATTCGTTACAAATTACCGAATCATATTGAATTCCATTTAAATATGTAACGGTGTATTCTGACTTACTTTCCTCGCTGTAATCTCTTTGAGTTTAATCCTGACAGGGAAATATATTAAATATCACGTTCAGAATAAACTTACCCGAACTTGGCAAAGTTTGTCAAATAAGTCATCATTGCTGCGCTCAAATCCCTTTCTGAGCTGGAGAAGTTGTGTGACGCCTGCCCAAATATATATGCCAGCTCATCACCATGATACGCTCCAGTCAACCACGGGGGAAGACCCGGAGTAGTCACAAACGAAGACTTATGGGACAAGATGAACTGGAAGGACCGAGGATTTCCTAAAATATGACGCCTCAAAGTTTGTACTGTCCTGCTATCGTACATCATATCCCCAAACAAATTCACCAGACGTCGTGCCTGGTCTGCTAGTGTGCCATCTGAGGTGTAGCTAGCACATATTGCGTTAGCTATTCTGACACTGGATGCATAATAATCACGTGCAAGTGCGGGTGCAATAGAATCACACAGAGCGATTGTTGGTGCTCCGTCAGAAAGCGTAAAATTATAACGAGTTTGAATGACCTTCAAATACGACCTTATCAAACCTCCGTCTGCACTGTTTGTTCCGGTCATGTAGTCAGCTGACACGTATCGTCGACTTCCGTCCGAATCCGGATTGTACATAATCCTATGGGGAGTGTCCATCAAGATTTCTTTATCTATAACTGGTGCTGGTCGCATTATGAAATGAGGACTCGACGAATCTTCAGCAACAATCTTATTTTGTCCATCAAGCAATTCATGCGCGGTTTTATTTCTCATACAGTCTGTAAGGATAGACATATCAGTGGAATCCCAACCTGTTGGAATACAACCGAGTTTAGTGGCAAGTCTTATTGTTGCCATTCGAGGCTTATGGGTAATTGCCCTTGGGCTCAACCCGAATCCACTCATCGGGATAGCTCTCCGAAACAAATCCTTGGTTTCTGCCGACAAGAGAAGTAAGCCGATGCTGTATCCGCCAGCCGAATGGCCAAACATTGTAACCTTTGCAGGATTTCCTCCAAAGAATTTTATATTCTCCTGGACCCAACGCAAGCAAAATATCTGGTCCCAGAGTCCGTAATTTCCTTTAGCTGCTTCGTCTTCTGTGCTAAGGAAGCCAAAGAACCCAAGGCGGTAGTTTGGAATAATAACGATCACGTTTCCGGACTGAGCCAGGAAGGAGCCGTCGAATAGTGACGCAGTTTTCGTTTTGTATCCTCCACCATGTATGTAAACCATTACTGAGAGGTTAGCGTTGACATCTATTCTCCCAGGCACGTAAACGTTCAGATAAAGACAGTCCTCAGAAACAGTGCTGTCTTCCAATATGTTTTTGTACCGTGTAAGAAGTCGTTGCATACACGGAGGCCCGTAATGAACGGCATTGCGGGTTCCATTCCATGAATCGGGACGTTCCGGTTTCTGGAATCGCAAGTTCCCCAGTGGAGGTTTGGCAAATGGAACTTTAAGAAACTGATAGACTGACTCGTTCCTCACGGTTACAACTTTCCCTTGAATGGCGCCGTATGTGGTAGTGATGACCCCATCAGGATGTGTGTTCGTGGCCGTCATTGAGTGAACCATCACAAAGATCATGCCAATATATTGGACACTCTCCATAGTCAGTGAAATCCGGATGATGAGCTTGGAATTACAAAAAATAAATAGATAAATAAAAATAAATTTAGAGATAGAAAATAAATACCGATAGGGTATGAAATTCGTTATATTCAATTCTAGAAAATATCAGACCAACTTATTTATTTCAAAGTTGACTTATCTTGTTTTCTTTTTTTCGACATTCCAAATTTGTGTTATAGAGATACAAGCCAAGCTGGTTTACTCTTAACAATTGTCTTACAGAAAAACAGCTCAGTAGGTTAACTTTAAAAAAAGTCTACATGATAACTGCTCAATTGGTTAACTCTTAACAAATGTCTAACAAGATACCATCTCAGTTGGTTAACGCTTAATAAATGTCTAACAAGATACCATCTTAGTTGGTTACCGCTTAATAAATGTCGTAGAAGATAACAGCTGAGTTGGTTAACTCTTAACGGTAATTGTCTAACAAGATAATCGCTCAATTGGTTAACGCTTAACAAATGTCTAACAAGATACCATCTTAGTTGGTTAACGCTTAATAAATGTCTTAGAAGGTAACAGCTGAGTTGGTTAACTCTTAACGGTAATTGTCTTAACAAGATAATCGCTCAATTGGTTAACGCTTAACAAATGTCTAACAAGATACCATCTCAGTTGGTTAACGCTTAATAAATGTCTTAAAATATAACAGCTGAGTTGGTTAACTCTTAACGGTAATTGTCTAACAAGATAATCGCTCAATTGGTTAAAGCTTAACACTTGTCGACCAAGATACCAGCTCAGTTGGTTAATGATTTAAACATGTCTAATGAAATAACAGATGAGTTGGTTAACTCTTTACAATAATTGTCTGACAAGATAATCGCTCAATTGGTTAACGCTGAACAAATGTCGAACAATATCCCAGCTCAGTTGGTTAACTCTGAATAAATGTCGAATAGGATACCAGCTCAGTTGGTTAACGCTTAATAAATGTCTTACAAAAAACCTGCTCAGTTGGTTAACGCTTAATAAATGTCTTACAAGATACCAGCTCTGTTGGTGAACGCTTAACAAATGTCGAACAATATACGAGCTCAGTTGGTTAACTCTGAATAAATGTCGAACAAGATACCAGCTCAGTTGGTTAACACTTAACAGATGTCGAACAATATACCAGCTCAGTTGCTGAACTCTGAATAAATGTCGAACAAGATACCAGCTCAGTTGGTTAACTCTTAACAAATGTCTAACAAGATAACAACTCAGTGTGTTAACTCTTAACAAATGTCGAACAAGATAACCGCTCAGTTGGTAAACGCTTAACAGATGTCGAACAAGATACCAGCTCAGTTGGTTAACGCTTAACAAATGTCTAACAAGATAACAGCTCAGTGTGTTAACTCTTAACAAATGTCGAACAAGATAACCGCTCAGTTGGTAAACGCTTAACAGATGTCGAACAAGATACCAGCTCAGTTGGTTAACGCTTAACAAATGTCTTACAAAATACCTGCTCAGTTGGTTAACGTTTAATAAATGTCGAACAAGATACCAGCTCAGTTGGTTAACGCTTAACAAATGTCGAACAAGATACCAGCTCAGTTGGTTAACGCTTAACAAATGTCGAATATGAAACCAGCTCAGTTGGTTAACGCTTAACAAATGTCGAACAAGATACCAGCTCAGTTGGTTAACTCTTAACAAATGTCGAACAAGAAAACCGCTCAGTTGGTTAGCTCTTAACAAATGTCTAACAAGATAACAGCTCAGTTGGTAAACTCTTAATAAATGTCTAACAAGATAACAGCTCATTTGGTTAACTTTTAACAATTGACTAACAAGATAACAGCCCAGTTGGTTTACGCTTAACAATTGTCTTTTAAGATAACCGCCCATTGGTTACCTCTTGACTATTGTCCCGACAAGATACCAGGTCAGTTGCGGAACGCTTAACAAATATCTTGGAATGCAACCAGCTCAGTTTCTTAACTCTTAACAAAATTCCAACAAGATACCAGCACAGTTGGTTGATTTGTAACAAATGTCTAACAAGGGCATGTCACCCATTATCATATAAAACACATTTCAGTTAACCGAATATATATGGGAAATATTACTAATGATAAAGATATGCGATACAAGGCGGAAGTAGCTAATAAACAGGATGGTATCTGTTTTATATTAAGTAGAACATATTGCTCTAGAAGGTGACAAAAGACTTACCTCTAGCAGCAAGCAATGTTTCAACGTTTTCTCGGACACACCATGTTTGTACGAACTCGTTAGCGACTGTGCGGATAAGTCCTTTTTCAGAGTGACCTGTCCATTCAAGACGACTGCTACACGCACACGGTAAAATAGTTTATCGTTCAAAGTTCAGAAACTGATAACCACAATATGTATGTCTATTACATTTTATTTTTAAGCACACATACAAGCGTATGCCTGAGGCAACACAGTTTGGCAATGACCACGAGGCTATCTGGTAAGCACATAAATTGAATGAACAATTAATTGTTTAAGAAATCTGGAGAGGCATATTGATCTAAACCCACAAGTACGGGTTGACAGGAGACCTCTGGGTGTTATCCTCTAGCGCTGTTAAACTAGTTGTCACTAGGGACCTGTTATCACACGATTTACTGACGCAGCCCAGCCGAAATCTCATGGTGTCTCAGACTTAAACAGCAAGTTAACCCAACGTTCTGTAGGGTTTATATATTTCAACTGAAAGTATAAAGTGGAATTAATACAACACCAATTTTTGTCAATATCATTTTACTGTTATTGCTAATTAGAGCGTAGTGATTAGGTTTCATAAATTGAAATCTGGCTAGGTTATCCTATTCTTTTTTTACCAGTGCATTGTGATGCTATAGTATGTGACACACTTAGCAAGAATAAGATATCTGGACCCAAACTACCACACTTGATTTAGACATACCAGGCGAAGTTGTACTACCTTATAGGCCTAGTGCGTGGGTAATAAGGAATATATCACAGCTCAAACAGAAATATTTTATAATTGTATTTTATTAAGCAATGAAGGACGCCTGTAGCTGCTTCAGCTTACAAATGTTCGGGAAGTCGGTTACAAAATTTTTGTTACAATTTTCAGGCTACCCATGACATAGGCTATACGCCAGATAGCAAAAGAGTGTTTTTTACATGAAGTTGCATTTCGAAATTATAGAACATTTTTAATCTCATACCATGTCTTCATTTAGTGTAGAAAGTTCGTACAGAACTGGGTATCAATGATATCGCAAATGTTTCCATTTTGGACTGGCAAACGATGTCCGAAGTAGTCAGGTTGATATCGGTAGTTGATGAATTTGAACTTTGTGAGCACCATTTAACGATTTTCAATGGCACCTACGATTTTTTAAGTTGCCGTGCATTTCTTTTGCAGCACAGTTTAGACCGTATATTTGTATTGCAATAGAGTTCGGACCATACATTTGTATTGCAGCACAGTTTAGACCGTATATTTGTATTGCAATAGAGTTCGGGCCATACATTTGTATTGCAATAGAGTTCGGACCGTACATTTGTATTGCAATAGAGTTCGGATCATACATTTGCATTGCAATACAGTTCGGACCATACATTTGCATTGCAATAGAGTTCGGACCATACATTTGCATTGCAATAGAGTTCGGACCATACATTTGCATTGCAATAGAGTTCGGACCATACATTTGCATTGCAATAGAGTTCGGACCATACATTTGCATTGCAATAGAGTTCGGACCATACATTTGCATTGCAATAGAGTTCGGACCATACATTTGCATTGCAATAGAGTTCGGACCATACATTTGCATTGCAATAGAGTTCGGACCATACATTTGCATTGCAATAGAGTTCGGACCATACATTTGCATTGCAATAGAGTTCGGACCATACATTTGCATTGCAATAGAGTTCGGACCATACATTTGCATTGCAATAGAGTTCGGACCATACATTTGCATTGCAATAGAGTTCGGACCATACATTTGCATTGCAATAGAGTTCGGACCATACATTTGCATTGCAATAGAGTTCGGACCATACATTTGCATTGCAATAGAGTTCGGACCATACATTTGTATTGCAGCACAGTTTAGACCGTATATGTGTATTGCAATAGAGTTCGGACCGTACATTTGTATTGCAATAGAGTTCGGACCATACATTTGTATTGTAATAGAGTTCGGACACTACATTTGTATTGCAATAGAGTTCGGACCATACCTTTGCATTGCACTAGAGTTCGGACCATACATTTGCATTGCAATAGAGTTCGGACCATATTGTTACAGTGTTTACCATACATTTGAATTGCGATATAATTTAGACTTTACATTTGTATTGCCTTACAGCTTAACCGTACATTTGTATTGCGATACAGTTTGTTCCATACATTTGTATTGCGATATAGTTTAGACCTTACATTTGTACTGCGATACAGTTTAGACCATGCATTTGTATTGCGATATAGTTTAGACCTTACATTTGTATTGCGTTACAGTTTGGACCATATATTTGCATAGCGATAGGTTAGACAATACTTTTGTATTGCGATACAGTGTAGACACTGATAGAATGGGTCGATCTGGGGACGTTTCCTAACAGAGAAAAACGTTAATAAATGTCTGCTCGGTGCTAGTAGATAGATATTTCTTCTTTGTTTATTATTTTTACCCTAAGGTTATATGATACAATAAATTGCTAAACACGATACGTACCGAATAAACAAAGCAGCTATGAAAGGTTGACTTTATCTGTAGCAGGGGGCAGGCGTTAAACAAGTGCATTGAAAATTTAACGCCTGTTAATGGAAAGATCAGTTTTCCTTTAACTTTGCAAATACTGTACAAAGCATGTCAGCTTTCAAAATTTATTCAGTTCTTCAAGTGTCAAAATGTCAAAGTCCAGGAGGCAATTAATCCCTGTTTTCACTCACTCATGTAACCAGAACTTCCTGGACTGATTTCGTTTATTACCTTCCAAAGGGTTGGACTGGTTGGACCAGAATCGCTTATTTATAAATTAGGAACGGATTTTGATGGGGTTTTCCCTGCCAGTCTTGACAATAACTTTCAAGGTCTACATTGATATTCTCCATCAGACTAAACCCTGAAATATTTCATTTAAAAAATTGACAAACCGGTTGGTCCGTATAATCGAACAGGCCCCAGGTTTAAAGAAAACGTAATAGCGTTACAAAGATAACATACCAAAGGGATATTCAAAGATTGCTACAATCAAATCAAACAAAAAGGGTATTGAAAATTAATTGCATGTAAATTTATCATATATAAACTTAAGTAAATTTAATATTGTTCTAAGGACTGTTACGGTTGGGCCTTTAATGACCCACATGTATGTGTGTTTTCGTTATCGTTGTCATGGTAGCCAGTTGAAATTTACATAGATACGTGAAAATTGAATAAGTCACTCTTGTCGTCTTCCTCTTCTGTTAAACCATATTCTTGAACAAACTCGATATGTCTCTTAAACATGTATTTTAACACCAACATATACTTCCTTTGTTCAAAATTGTCTGAATTTTCAACTTTTTTCTTATTTAGAAAACTTAATTCCAACAGGTTCTATTGTGATATGTTTATGCTACAGAAACTGATGAGACGATCCTTAGAAGACATAATGCCATCTCATGATAATAATTACAACCAAGTTTGAATTATTTGCCATTGAAAATATACCCAAGACTGTTCTGTCGTAAAATCGCCCTCTTTCTGCGTGATCTCGAGAGAATGAAATGCATAGTTTAGATAAAGCACTCAAGGACATATCTATCTCTTCTAGCATATCTGGATCTGAAGAAGAAAACTGTTAAATATTTAGCCAATATGACTGTTTTAGGAGCCGCCCCTAGATCCACATGGTGATGGGATATATTTACAATGTAATACAGAATGAGAGTAAAAGGTTTGCCTTTAGTCATGCAAGGTTTCAAGTCCAAAATGTGAATTGTGCACAAACGGACGACGCATGACGCTAGACAAAAAGGACAACTCCTTGTTCAGTGACCAAATATACACATTCATATGAATTTATACAGTATTAAGAAACTGCAGATAATAACGGAGATGAGCATGTCGATGGTCATCAAGGAACTGACGCCACTTGTCGCACGACATCGTCTCAGTTGACTGGGCACGTCTTTGTTCCAGAATTCCATCCGGTCGGCCCACAGCGCGTGCCCCACGGAATCCGTCACTGATATGTTGAGGAAACTCTTGTTTGGCAGAGTGTATTGAGGCCATTCCAAAAGGTCAGAGTCATTGCCATTCGGATTTCTAAAACAAATAAAATGTATTGTATTATGAAGTACTAGAAGAAAACATGTATTTAAAAGTTTTCCATCAGCAGTCGACATCTAGATAGCTTAAACGCTGATCAGTTATTGCTCTTACCCAGATTTGGCGAAATTTGTCCAGTAGGTCATCACTCTCCTTGATATTGCCAGTTCATCATCGTCCTTAAGAATATTACTAGGGTAAAATTCGTTTAGACCAAACACAAAAGGGAGCTCGTCTGCATGGTTTGCTCCGTGCAGCCACAATGGTCTGGGCCGTACCAGTCCCCATCGGGGCTCGTGTGAAAACAAGTACTGGTACGTCTTAGTGCTGGCTCCAATGTGGGCGTCTAGAGATCGAAAGGCAGGGCTGTTATAGTTGACGTCAGCATAAAGGTTGGATACGCTAGAAGTTTGATCTTCAGCGTCACCGCTGGTGACAGGTTCTACGTACTTGTCGGCTATTGAAGTGAAAATAGCATCACAGTTGTCGTATAGCTGTCGAACAAGAGTAGGTATGACATTGTTATACGGAATATTTGCCAGTATTGCTACGGTGAAGTTGAACTTAGGAAACACTTTCTGGTGGCGAAGGAGATCAAAATAAAATAACCCCGACTCCGCTGAATTAAGCCCTGTCAAAAGGTCAAGATCTCGGAAGAATTTCATAGCATCACTGTTGTGGTCAGTCAATATTGCCTCAAAGTCTTTGATGAACAGCTCCCCATCTATTGTCGGACCCAGTGCTGATAGTATGGTAAAGCTGGCATTTTGCACATGAATAAATGCTGTGTAAAATGCAATACCAAGTTGTCCGGCGCTTTGTCGACGTAAACACGTTACGGTTGAGACAGAACTGTTTGAGGAACATCCTAGTTCATTCACTACTCGAGCGAATACTTTCATTGATTCTACACCAGAATCACGGGGCCCCACACAAGATCCGCTCTCTGCGATGACTCTCTGAAACAGACCTCTATTCTGGGGAATAATCGCCAGCATGCCAACACTAGCCCCTCCTGCAGATTCGCCGATTATTGTAATTCTTGTAGTGTCGCCACCGAAATCTCCTATATTGTTTTTTACCCATTGAAGAGCTAACATTTGGTCCCAAAGTCCATAATTGCCAGTGGCAGAGTTATCGCCCGTGGTAAAGAAACCAAATATGTTCAGCCTGTAGTTGATCGTTACAACGATCACATCGCCATGCAGCGCGAGAGCTGAGCCATCGGTTCCGGATCCACTTCCGGAAATAAAACTCCCACCGTGAATCCACACCATCACTGCACGTTTCGCTGATGCGTCTAGACTGTTGGGCACAAACACATTGAGATATAAACAATCTTCTGACACGTGAGTTCCACTTTGCATACATGCGTCCATGTATGTTGTACAGTTGAGAATTCCACTCCATGCGTTTGGCACCTCTGGTTTTCTGAATCGAAGATCTCCTATCGGTGGTTTAGCAAAAGGTATTCCCTTGAACTGGAAACTGCTCCCATTGTCTGACGTGACGTTGAGACCTAAGACGGGCCCGAGTCGTGTTGACCATTGGATTGTGGTGGTTGGTATGTCATTGGTTGATTTCGAAAGTACATTGTATCCCTTTAGCAAGAGCAAACTGAGGACACCGTACCACCCCACTGCCTGAGCTTTGTTCATGATGGCCGATATATGGTCTTCTTCTTCTGCAAAACAAATAGGAATAATGTTAGAAAGCAAATGTAACCTCACTCACCATCATAAGGCTTGAAGCTACTGGATGGTCCATAAGGTTGAATCCAATGCTTCCTGTCAATTACCAAACTCATTGTTTTGAGGAACGAAGCCTGCACTGTTTAAATGTCCTTTATCGGATTTCCTTGTTATCATTTATCTGTTGTGTTAATAGTTTGTGATAATCATAAACTAACATTTGTTTACTTAAATGAAATTTCCATAAAAGATTTTTTCCATGCCCCAATCGATGTAAACCTGAATATTTCGAATGCATGTGTAAAGATCTTATAATTTTGAAAGTGTAATGATTCCAGTGTTCCTTGTTTTTGTAATTTAACAGCTTTGTTACAGTCAGGGCACTTCCAAATATGACGTTTGAAAGAAAATGTAGTTCCAGCGCATATTATACAGCTATATCTATCACAATAATTACTCCTATGGAACTATAAAAGTATCGGTAAAATGTTTACTTAAAAAAAAAACATTTAACAAGAGATTAGTCATTTTTTATTGAGCATAAGTAATAAAAGCGAAGCAAGGTTTGAGCTGAGGAAACGAAAAATTAGCGGGCTTATAAAAAGGCAAAACAGATGCAAAAGAATAGACTTTAGTTGCGTCAACATAACTTTAAAACGGTCGTTTTTAAAAGGGCCTACCTTTAAGATATGGGTTACATAAAGCATGCCATCAAATAGCACACATGTTGTTGTAACTGCCATAAAATATTGAAAATCAGACCTCCAGTGAATCTTTGATAGTTTTAAAAGATACCAAATTTCGCCCTTTTTCAACCTAACCCCCTCATTGTTTATATGTAGGGCTTGATTGATCCAATCCTGAAATCCCCATGAAGTTATACCTTTCAGATTCCCATAGATTAAATACAGTGGACAAAATACATGTTATTTGTTTCGGAAAGAGTATTGTAAATATTTACGATATATCTAGAGTTGGGAAGGCCATCGCTTCATACAAAGAGAAAGAAAAATAGTTTAAATTGACACTTTCTGATTTTATGATCTTGCTAAAAGGAAATACATGCTACTGGAAATGTATATAAAGAACTGGTTTAGAATATTTATGGGAATGTCAATTATGATAAATAGCAACAGTCACTCAAATATGGATGTGGCATAAGGGTGAGGAACATTCAATTCCTGATGAGGGGCTAAGCCCGAAAGCTAGAACGTAGAATGACTGTTGCTATATATTTTGTTGTGCTCCCTGTAGGAAATTTGTGATAGATATTTTTTAATTATGATAATTTAATATAAACTTGGTCCTAGGATGACGAATAACTGTATGATGGAGTGTCATTTAATTTTGGTAGACTGTATCTATTACCAAATGATAAAATGACAATCACCTGTATGTGTGTGTGTGTGTGTGTGTGTGTTACGTTAAGTTACAAGGTGGTAGACTCTGCTAGTAGATTCTTTAGTCCCCAAGGTTTGCCGTAACCTTGATTGCCACAGTTATCTCTTTTGAGTCGTGGCATGGTTCATGATATACACACTTTACAGAAACGATAAAATTTGAAGACGTATAAGACGAATATCATTTCAGAATGAACTTTTCCTATAATGCATATGAATATACATCACATATTGTGAAATATGTCCTCTGCAAACGAAATGGTTTCAAATCATCCTAGGTATCACGGAAAGCTAGTTAAAGAGGTTTTCCTGATTGCTGCTCTAATTAATTATAATAGTAGGTATGTGGATAACTTTTAACTGCTAATGGGCTACTATATCGTGTATATTGGGGGGGAGGGGGTCATTATTAATCTCAAACAAATATACAGTGAAATACAACAGGCCAAGTATCGTTCTGATAATTATAAAAATCAAGAAAACTCCAATCTGCAAAGACAGTTCAGGATACGGCAAATGTTATGTAAGGTTAAACATATTGCAATATTTTACGTACCTTGACGTCATGTATGTTGAGGTACATGTAGTTAAACGTTGTTTCGATATGACACAGATACGTACTTGACTCTCCTTTATGTAAACACGGTTATCGGTGGTGGATACCTACGTTCAGGCATTTCCCCTTGTTATTGGGAATGTCTAGCTACCCATCACACGGCCGGGTGTGAGCGAGGGGGCGGGTCGTAAATATTGATAAACACGTGCACGTGGTCATCGAAAATGTTTTCTTTGTTCTTACAGTCTTTGTGTCAGAGTGTGTAGCCTTGAAATTGTCCGATAATGTGCGTTATCGTCTTTTTAAGTAGGTGACAGATAGGCAGATACGTACTTGACTCTTGACCTATTTTACTGTTCAAATCATGGACTTTTTCACTGCTAAATGTACAACAAAACGCGGCAAGCAAACTTCAATGAGGCACATCAATTTTAAAAATGCATGATCGATGACTTTACACAATTGATATTAACTACTTGCTTTCTGCTTGTGAAATATAATTTTAACCAATGACAAAATACAGCGCTAATGAATATGATGAAGCATAAGACGCTTACCCTTTCGGAACACCAGGTCTAAATTTCATTGTACTTTTAAAGGTATCCATGTAAATCGTTCCCTTCCTTTTTTCATGTTTTGCCGAGGTTTATCGATTTTCAGATTTAATTACGGTATTGTTGACACTTAGGTATTCTCTTTTCTCTTGTTTTTCTTCTCACAAAGATTCTTGTGATTCTCAGTACCAAATACCTTTTGAATACAAAGTATGACCGTGCCAGTAAAGAGACATTAATTATCTTATGTTTTGATGTGGTCGAACCCTAGCCGATAGGTTTTTGCCTTGAGACGATCTTTCTGAGAAGGATTTAAGTTTGGTCATTTTTTCATTTAACTTGTACAATGCCTTTGCTAATGGATAAACTGATGAGAAATTTAACGTGGATTTGTATTACTCTTATATTTATTTGAATCGTACTGTTCTTTATAGAAAACTATTCTGAGACATGTTTCAGATCAAATTTAACATTCTTGAAACAATTTCGAACTCTTCACGGCTGCGACAGGTCAGATTCTTCAGAATACCAGCAGAAGCGATCTACACTTGCTAAGCTATACACAAGGAATTACGATAAACTAAATTCGAGCCTGTAAGAGGTCGTGCAACCTAAACATCACGAACCTTTTTACGAGTCGTGACTCAAGGAACACGTGCATTGTGCACAAGGCAGCCTTTTAAACATAACTAAATTTTAATAAACGTTCTCGATGCGACTTAGTTACTGTACAGTAGTAAATGTAACGAACGATTTCCTGTGGCGTCTAACTCTGCTGAGCTTATCACATATGTGAGAGGATTGTTGTCAGTCCTTGCCTCGGGTGAACTTCCGTGAAGTTGGTCATGGAACTTGTCACATAGCACCAACTTCAAGCACATGTATTCCAATTTATGGGTCGGAGAGTTTATTTCACTTTTCTTCAACCATCGATTAGTTATATACATTAAGTCGATCTTTCCCTTTTTGCCATAGGACTGCCATCAGCCCATTCAGTGATACTTCTGTATCTACAAAGCCAGCACTGGTACAGACGTGAACATTTTGATGATTATTTTGAAGGCCTTCTCAAATCCACGGAACCATCATCTCAGTTCTTGCCGCCTTCTTGTCAATAGGTTTTCCAGATGGTAAGTCATAAAGAAGATTTTTTTAGTCATTTGCAAGCCGCCGAAAGTATCCTGTGAATCCCAGGAACGTTCTTAATGTTTCACAGAAATTGGGATAGACCATGACGTCACCGCATGGAAAACTTATACTTCGGAAGCATAAAAAAAAAACCTTTGTTGCGCTGAAACAACAAAATGATTTCAGCAATTGAAAGGTGATTTTTATTTTTTAGGCATTACAGACTAGTATGGTGATCCTTTTTCAAAAGCTGATGAAGGCCCTACATCTTCTGAATGGTAGCAGAAGGTATTCCAATATGACAAAAACCAGTCTTTACAAGAATGGTTTTAGATATGACATTAAAGAATGTCTTTATGATTGCCCGACAATGTATACCTGTTTTAAAGAATGCATTTATGTAGAATGCATGTAGAAGAAATTCAAAAGGAATTCGGGAACAGGCGTAATGCCTATGCAAGCCCCTGGAGGGAGATACAAATTCAGACGTAGATACGAACTCCAGACCGAGTATGTCTTCCAGGTAAGCCGCGTTAGTATTCAAAATATACACTATAATTTGTTTAATGGAATTAATAGATATATACAAATGGTACCTATAAATTTTGATTAAACGTTTTATTGCATGAATGAAGCAAACGGCAGAAAAAAATGAGAGCATTACAAAGGCCCTCTTTAATAAACACATTGACATAAATTGAGAAATAGCATAATATTAATCACAATGAATACCGTTTTACACAGAGAAAAAAAAATACATATAATCCAGTAAGGTTAAAAAGGAGGTAAAAAACAACAACATAAAACAGGAAAAGCGAAATATGTTATAACCTAACCCCAAACCTTCGCTAGATTTGTATTACTTCCATACTTCAAAAATAAAATGAAGAAATAAAAAGAGAAAAAGAGATAGTTGGTTATATCGACAGGTTTTTATTTCAAAGTCTTATGATAAGATGTTTCTTTTCTCCAAAGATGAAGAATGAAGGTGTTTTATGTCTATCAAAACAGTGTAGGAATTGCAATTTTAAAAGAGGAACAAAAGGTGAAGATATTGCAGTTGCAAACAAAACAAAAAATGCTGGAAAGCTATTCAATTGGAAATTTATTTTAACTTGAAATTTATTTCCTTTGTGATGTAGACATTCCCTACCTTTAAAATAAATCAAAATTGAAATCGGGAACAATGAAAATATAGTTGATATTATCTACATATGAATTGGTTACGCAGCGTAAAATGATGACGCGGTTGTGATATGATACCTCTGCATAAAGTGATGACGCGATCCTATTATGATATGGTTACGCTGCATAAATAAAGTGGTGACGCGATCCTATTGTGATATGAGAACGTTTCATAAAGTAATGACAATTTAATATTCTAGTGTGATATGGTTTCTCAGTAATCCTATTGTTTGCATAATACAAGCTCAACATGTTTTTCACAGTAATAAAAGTAAATACACCAAACTATATGGGGGAGATTGCAGCAAATACTGAATAATGACATTACTGAAGTACTAATATCTCAATTTGGCAGACATGTTCTTTTTCAGTGACCAAACATAGACGTTCATTTGAAATTATAGAGTACAAAGAGACTGCAGATAACGACCGAGAGTTGCATGTCGAAGGACATACTGGAACTGACGCCATTTGTCTCCCGACATCGTCTCAGTTGATTAGGCACGTCTTTGTTCCAGAATTTCATCCGGTCGACCCACAGCGCGTGCCCCAAAGAATCCGTCACTGATATGTTGATATAAGACTTGTTAGACAGGGTGTATTGAGGCCATTCCAAAAGGTCAGAGTCGTTGCCATTCGGATTTCTAAAACATACATATTTATTGTAATGCAGTGATGTATTGATAAACGATTTATGTAAATTACGATTTTGGAGCAGACAAATGCCATGCGTAGACAATATTTTTTTACATAAAGCTGTTTTTTTAGATAATTCTATTATAAACTTGTATTGACGCTTTATTTGCAAAAAAAAAGGTGTTGAGGAACTATATTGCAACTCCTTTTGTTATCTCAAAACAACGATTAACGTTATTGCTCTTACCCAGATTTGGCGAAATTTGTCCAGTAGGACATGATTCTCCTCGATATTGCCAGTTCAGTGTCGTCCTTAGGAATATCGCTAGGGTACATTTCGTTCAGACCAAATACAAAGGCGATGTCGTCACCGTGGTTTGCTCCATGCAGCCACAGTGGTCTTGGCTCTACCAGTCCCCATCGGGGCTCGTGTGAAAACAAGTACTGGTACGTCTTAGCGTTGGTCCCAAGGTGAGCATCTAAAGACCGGAAGGCTTGACTGTGATAGATGACGTCAGCATAGAGTTTTATGGCACGAGACGTTTGAGCGTCAAGGTCACCATTTGGTATAGGGTAGACGTACCTGTCAGCTATCGATTTGGAAATATCATCACAGTTGCCATACAGCTGTCGAACAAGAGTAGGTATGACATTGTTATTTGCAATACTAGCCGGTATTGCTACGGTGAAGTTGAACGTCGGAAACTCTCTCTGGTGACGAAGGAGATCTTTATAAAATATCCCGGCCTCCGCTGAATTAAGCCCTGTCAAAAAGTCAACATCTCGGAAAAACTTCATAGCATCACTTTCGTAGTCGGTTAATTTCGCCTCAAAGTCTTCTGAAAACAGCTCCCCGTCTATTGTAGGGCCCATAGCTGAAAGTATGGTAAAGCTGGCATCTTGCACAGCATTAAATGCTGCGTAAAATGCAATGGTTAGTTGTTCGGCGCTTTGTCGACGTAAACACTTCACGGTTGAGACCGAAGAGTCGGAGGAACAGCCAAGTTCATTCACTACCCTTGAAAATACTTTCATCGCCTCCACACCAGAATTACGGGGCCCCACACTTGATCCGCTCTGTGCGATGACCCTCTGAAACAGACCTCTATTCTGAGGAATAATCGCTAGCATGCCAACACTGACCGCTCCCGCGGATTCGCCGAATATAGTCACTCTTGTAGTGTCGCCACCGTAATCTCCGATATTGTCTTTAACCCACTGAAGAGCTAACATTTGGTCCCAAAGTCCATAGTTGCCAGAGTTATCACCCGTGGTAAAGAAACCAAACAAGTTCAGCCTGTAGTTGACTGTTACAACGATCACATCGCCATGAAGTGCGAGAGTTGAGCCATCGGTTTTGGATCCACTTCCGGAAATAAAACCCCCGCCGTGAAACCACACCATCACTGCACGTTTCGCTGATGCGTCTAGACTGTTGGGCACAAACACATTGAGATATAAACAATCTTCTGACACGTGAGTTCCACTTTGCATACATGCGTCCATGTATGTTGTACAGTTGAGAATTCCACTCCATGCGTTTGGCACCTCTGGTTTTCTGAATCGAAGATCTCCTATCGGTGGTTTAGCAAAAGGTATTCCCTTGAACTGGAAACTGCTCCCATTGTCTAGCGAGACGTTGAGACCTAAGACGGGCCCGAGTCGTGTTGACCATTGGATTGTGGTGCTAGGTAGGTCACTGCTTGGTTGTGATAGTACATGGTTTCCCTGTAGCAAGAGCAAGCTGAGGACACCGTACCATCCGACTGACTGAATTTCGGTCATGATGGCTGATAAATGGTCTACCTCTTCTGCAAAACAAATAAGAATGTTAGAAACCAGTGGTAACCTTACTCACCGTGAGCAAGATTGATTCTACTGGATAGTTCATAATGGTTGCTTAATATACGTTGCTTCCTGTAAACTTATCATACTCATGTTTTGAGGAACGAGACCAACACTGATTTTTTTTTCTATGCCGGGTATCCTCCTGAATATTAATCTGTCTTGAATTATATTACAGAGGAACTAGAAAATATCTAATTTTATCTTGTTCATATCCCTTTTAATAACGCCACGATTTTGTGTATTTAGGGACAATTTGTAAATGAATTTTCCGAAAATGTCATGGTGATAGCAAACTTACATAAAGTACTTCGGAAGCCTATGTGTTAGAATCTAAGTTTTCAGCAATTTTGTTTCTTGTTTAAATTATTGTATTTTACAAGCGGGACACTTTCAGACATTTATCTCAAAGGAAATCTGAGTCTAATTTTTTTTTCAAAACGGCGAATGTAATGCTATTAATAACTTCAGATGAATAACGCAAGTACATCTAGGTATTTGGTTTTTTCAATAACTTCAATATCAAATAAGAGATCGGCCACATTTATTGACATATTGGGGTTTAAGAAGCAGCGTCCACTGTAGAGGCTGTGAACGATTGTGAAATGCAGGTGATAAAGTAACAAGCATTAAAAGTTATTTATATGATTTTTTAATATATTTCAAGAGGATACGTCTATCGAGAGCGTACACCTTATTATCAAAAGTGGAAATAAATGTCCCTTTTCGATTAACATTACTATATGACAAATACCGATTTAAGTTTTATTGAAATTCTCCAGGTTGATATTGTTGGTTGCAAACTTTAAGTGATTGCGGTAGCAATCAAGGATTAAAAAAAATATAAGAGGTAACTAATGTTGGGAAACCCTTGTAGAATTTGGGATTTGATTTTGTATTCTTGATTTTGACGACCTCAATGGCAAGCCAAGTTGTCATTTATGCACGGAGCAGTGTTGATCCAGTATTTAACCAAATTATATAAGATATCTTATTTAATTATATAAGATATCTTATATACTTTATGAGATATCTTATATAATTTGGTTAAGTACTGGATCAACATTGCTCCATGAATAAATGACAACTTGGCTTGCCATAGACCACAATAAATCTGCTGCACTCATTGTCTGTTTTGCCTTCGTGTTTAACATTCGCCCAATCGGGGAAGGCATCGGGTTCTGTTCCCTGGCCGAGATTTACCAACGTCTTTAAAATTGGTAGTTGTTTATCATCGTAAACGTTCACCATTTAGGGTAATCGCAAATCGTTAGTATAATGTGACCGGGTGGAATGCCGTGTTGGGTGCCTTCGGCATGGTGTTTCATTGAGAGAGCACTCTGAAGTCAGCATCAGATCCGCGCTATTGCAGTACACAATTACACCAACATATCGCCTCCAGCACACACTACACACATGGAGGGGTCCCTTAGATGACCTTACCTGTTAATAGCTCGATATACGCAATAAACCAACCAACACATAAACCCATGTAGCAGATGTGCGAATGACTCTCTACTATGTCTAGTCGGAAGTACGATAGTGGTGCTAGTTTGTGTATGCATCTTAGCTTTTGTTGATGATACATTGTGCATATGTTCACTATTCTGATGGGTTAACTGAAGTGAGTGTATCGAGGGAGGGGGTTATCATTCTACTCAAACAAAGGTGCGGTGAAATATTGCAAACCAAATGTAGATCCAATATTTACAATATCAAGTAAACTCAAATCTGCAAAAGCAGTATAGGACATGGCTAATGCCGTGTAAGGTTAAAAAGACATACATATTGTAATGAAATTTTACGTACCTTGATCAAATGTGCGGTGAGCTATATGTGGTTAAACGTTGTAATCCAACAGCACACTTATGTTTACCTTCTAACGCAAACACGGATTTGGTAGTGGATGTTGACCTGGGGCCTGTTCGTTTATGCGGAACAACCGGTTTGACTGTTTATAAATGTAACAATTTCGGGTATAAATCCTGGCGGACCTGCAAATGTGTATGCAGGCCTTGCAAGGCTTTCTCAAGGCTCGCCTGAAAGCAGCATCAGATTACTAGGTCCGACCTTATTTAATAAACGAACAACAGTGGTCCGATCGGTTTGACCGTTTAAACGAAAACGGCCCAGGTTAATTCATTGAGAAAGTCGAGCGTGACGTTACGCTACTGACTGTAAGGAAGGGTGTGGCTATATATATATTGATAGACACCTGGTCTGATGAACATATTTTTCTTCGTCCTACTATCTTTGTATCAGTTTGTCTCGTCTCTGTCCCGTATGTCATTTAATTTATGCGGTATTTCAATTAAATTGTGTGCGTTGTCGTCTTTTTAGGTAGGTGACATGGATATGCTTCGTTTAATAGCTCTCAAGAGCTCTCAATATTATATATTAAAAGCATAAGCTTTGATGTATAAAGAGCGATTTACACAAGAATTAGAGATGAGTGAAAAGTTAAAAGTCTTTCATGTTTCTTATAACTAGCATATTTATACATAGTGTGAATAAGTCAGATTTTATATGATGATTATCAAGTATTTTCTTCTTAATTTGAGGATAAAAGGTTGTTATTTACGTTCCTCGACCTGCTAGGAGCTTCAATAACATATACATGTATATACTCATGTACGTAAGAGCTATATGCAAATTGATGTGTGAAATGTAAAGGTAAACTATGAATAACAATAAACATATTTAGAGACAAAGTAAGACGTTAAATAAAACTCAGGTACAGAAAGGGACAGAGTAAGACGTAAAATAAAACTCGGGTACAGATAGGGACAGAGAAAGACGTAAGAGAAATCTCGGGTACAGATAGGGACAGAGTAATACGTAAGATAAAACTCGGGAACAGTTAGGGACAGAGTAATACGAAAGATAAAACTAGGGTACAGACAGAGACATAGTAAGACGTAAGATAAAACGCTGGTACAGATAGGGACAGAGTAAGACGTTAGATAAAACGCGGGTACAGATAGAGACAGAGAAAGACGTAAGATAACAATCGGATACCGATAGAGACATAGTAAGACGTAAGATAAAACGAGGGTACAGATAGAGACAGAGGAAGACGTAAGATAAAAATCGGATTCAGATAGAGACATAGTAAGACGTAAGATAAAACTAGGGTACAGATAGAGACAGAGTAAGACGTAGGATAAAACGCGGGTACAGATAGGGACAGAGAGATCCGTAAGAGAAATCTCGGGTACAGATAGGGACAGGGAAAGACGTAAGAGAAATCTCGGGTACAGATAGGGACAGAGAAAGACGTAAGAGAAATCTCGGGTACAGATAGGGACAGGGAAAGACGTAAGAGAAATCTCGGGTACAGATAGGGACTGAGTAATACGTAAGATAAAACTCGGATACAGATAGAGACAGAGTAATTCGTAAGATAAAACTCGGGTACAGTTAGAGACAGAGTAATACGTAAGAGAAAACTCGGGTACAGATAAGGACAGAGTAATACGTAAGATAAGACTCGGGTACAGTTAGGGACAGAGTAATACGAAAGATAAAACTAGGGTACAGACAGAGACATAGTAAGATAACACTCAGGTACAGATAGAGACAAAGAAAGACGTAAGATAAAAATCGGGTTCAGATAGAGACATAGGAAGACGTAAGATAAAACTAGGGTGCAGATAGAGACATAATAAGACGTAAGATAAAACTCGGGAACAGATACCGACAGAGACATAGTAAGATAACACTCAGGTACAGATAGAGACAGAGTATGACGTAAGATAAAACGCGGGTACCGATAGGGACAGAGTAAGACGTAAGAGAAATCTCGGGTACAGATAGGGACTGAGTAATACGTAAGATAAAACTCGGGAACAGTTAGGGACAGAGTAATACGTAAGATAACACTCGGGTACAGATAAGGACAGAGTAATACGTAAGATAAAATTAGGGTCCAGATAGAGACAGAGTAATACTTAAGATAAAGCTCTGGTATAGTTAGGGACAGAGTAATACGTAAGATAAAACCCGCGTACAGTTAGGGACAGAGTAATACGAAAGATAAAACTAGGGTACAGACAGAGACATAGTAAGACGTAAGATAAAACGCGGGGACAGATAGAGACAGAGAAAGACGTAAGATAACAAGCGGATACAGATAGAGACATAGTACGACGTAAGATAAAACTCGGGTACAGATAGAGACATAGTAAGACGTAAGATAAAACGCGGGTACAGATAGAGACAGAGTAACGTAAGATAAAACTCAGGTACAGATAGAGACAAAGTAAGACGTAAGATAAAACGCGGGTACAGATAGGGACAGAGTAAGACGTAAGATAAAACTAGAGACAGATAGAGACAGAGTAAGACGTAAGATAAAACGCGGGTACAGATAGAGACAGAGTAAGACGTAGGATAAAACGCGGGTACAGATAGGGACAGACTAAGACGTAAGATAAAACTAGAGACAGATAGAGACAGAGTAAGACGTAAGAAAGACGTACGATAAAAATCGGGTTCAGATAGAGACATAGTAAGACGTAAGATAAAACGCGGGTACAGATAGGGACTGAGTAAGACGTAAGGTAAAACTAGGTTACAGATAGAGACAGAGTAAGACGTAAGATAACACGCGGGTACAGATAGGGACAGAGTAAGACGTAAGAAAAAACTAGAGACAGATAGAGACAGAGTAAGACGTAAGTTAAAACGCGGGTATAGATAGGGACAAAGTGAGACGTAAGATAAAACGCCGGTACAGATAGGGACTGAGTAAGACGTAAGGTAAAACTAGGTTACAGATAGAGACAGAGTAAGACGTAGGATAAAACGCGGGTACAGATAGGGACAGAGTTAGACGTAAGATAAAACGCGGGTACAGATAGAGACAGAGTAACGTAAGAGAAAACTCAGGTACAGATAGAGACAAAGTAAGACGTAAGAAAAAACGCGGGTACAGATAGGGACAGAGTTAGACGTAAGATAAAACGCGGGTACAGATAGAGACAGAGTAACGTAAGATAAAACTCAGGTACAGATAGAGAAAAAGTAAGACGTAAGATAAAACGCGGGTACAGATAGGGGCAGAGTTAGACGTAAGATAAAACGCGGGTACAGATAGGGACTGAGTAAGACGTAAGGTAAAACTAGGTTACAGATAGAGACAGAGAAAGACGTAAGATAGCAATCGGGAACAGATAGAGACATAGTAAGACGTAAGATAAAACGCGGGTATAGATAGGGACAAAGTTAGACGTAAGATAAAACGCCGGTACAGATAGGGACTGAGTAAGACGTAAGGTAAAACTAGGTTACAGATAGAGACAGAGTAAGACGTAAGAGATAAGCATCACACCAACAAGGAATAACGACCAGCTATCCACTCGGCACGAACGAAAAACGATATGTCCCAGCTTTATAAAGTAGTTTCCGGAAGGCAATGGTTCTGTCACCCGGCCGGGACATACCAAAGTCCTTAAAAATGGTAGTTGTTATTCTCTGCTTAACGTTCAGCATTTAGGGTAATGGCAACAACTGGTTCACCCGTTGTCAGTATAATGTGACTAGGCGGAACGCTGTGCTGGGTGCCTTCGGCATGGTATTTCAGTGAGGTAGCACTATAAAGTTGGCATCAGATACACGAACATACCTTATATCCAGCATACACACACATACACGCTAAAACAACACACAATGTGACTATAGTTGTTAATGGGAAGTTAAACAAAATAAAGCCAAATTATCTTTTAATTGACTTTAAGAGTAGACCGACCCGCTTGTTGCTATATATGTCAGTATTGTGGCAAGACTGACGTAGGCTGTCAGATTTAGTGGACGAATTGTCTCAGTTTGTTGTACACTTCGCTATTTCGTCGCTCTTCCTCCTAATGCTTATTTTCCATACGCTTACTAGATTTGGTAGTATATTCATTTTGCAGATATAGATATTTACCATATTAATATGATTTTTAGGTATTTCGAAGGGCTCTTCTTCGTATTTCACTTCATCATCCCTGGGCGAATCGTTATCTTCATGATTGTCAAAGCCTCCCACCAACACTGATGATTAAATTTTAATTAAATTGCGTGGTTTTTTTTTAAATACAGGTTGTCAGTATATCTTTAATAATATTATCATGCTCGTATTGATTCAAAAGCTGCTGAAGAAAAAAACCGACTAGGAATTGTTCACCTATAATGATAATTTGACGATAAAATATTTACCACGCGCTGGCACTATATAGTAATTTCGCCATTCGCTGGTTCTTTATTCCACTAATATTTATCGAAAGTTCAGAATTTCGTTTTGCTGCAAAAATTACCTTAATGTCATCTAATGTGTGAGTTATCAGATAATTAAAATCACTACATGTCATTAATCCTTTAATAAGTATATAATCCCATATGATAAATAGTGGTTTTATCCATTCTAGCAGATAATCTGACCATCTCATAAAAACTTATCTTAATTATACTCTTTATCTTAAATTTGTGTTTTGTGATATGTCGAACAATTTGCATCAGATTGTATCACTTCTTTTTTAGGATGCTTTATTTTTGCATCATCGTTTACGATTTGATCGAAAGAAAGCCCCTTTCACGTTCATGGAGGACATGCAAATGTTTATGTTAAGGCTCGCCTGAAAGCAGCATCAGATTTTTAGGTTTGACCTTATTTCATAAACGCACAACCCGGGTCCAACCGGTTCAACTGTCACGATAAACGAATGCGGACCAATAATATGCAATATTATGCTTTTCCCTTTACACAGCGTGCTTTTCCGGGGTTAACTCGCGCATGCGTAATCGTACATCCTTTTGTCCTGAGTATTCCAACATGGCGTCCGAAGACGAGACCGTATATTGTATATGTCGAAAACCTTACGATGAAAACGAATTTATGATCGAATGTGACATTTGCAAGGACTGGTTTCATGGAAGGTATGAAGAGGGTCACCATCAAATAACATGTAGCGTGTATTTACCTCACAGAACCTCTAAATGCAGAAAAAAATTAATCGGAGGCTCAGCTGTTTTTGGCTTGTGTCAAATGTGTGCAGCGTCTGCCAGACATGTTGACGCCACGTCTTAGAATAACGCGAAAGTAAAGATAATTGTGTGAAGCTAAATTGGCTTTGTTAAATCACAAGTAATAAGTCAAAATATATATTTGACATCTTTGTCGAAAATGATGAAATGTAGATTCACTGCCGTAAGCGTATTGAAGTCTATTTTGAAATGACCAAGTCTACTGCCGCGTTAATCGAAAAGAAAACATGAGCATAATTCCTTCGTTAATGATGTATTTATGACACAACAATAATTAGCTATGTGTCCTTATATGATAATTAAATAAAAGCACGTGGAATGGGTCCTGTGCATAAAAGTAAATTGGTCCTTGTTTACATTCTCGACAAGAAAGGGGAGTTAACTAGTACTGTTCTTGGTAGTGTAACACATTGAAAAGCAGGTGATGTGATTTACACATAAAAATACATAAATCGAAAAAAACTTGGGTTGCACATTTCTGCCAAAAAGAATTAGAATGTTTTTCTAGTATATTTTTTGTTCATTTAACTATATGAAATCCACTGAAATTGTACAGATCTTATGAATAAGCTTGGTGTTATACACTAGGTATACAAATCTGATTATAAATGAATCTCATTCAGTGAAGAAAGTCATTTGAAATGAATGTACATCCAAAAAGCAAAATAAGTTTTTTTTGCATGCGAAGATAGTCAAAGAGTACATAATTTAATTTGTTATATATTCATATCTAAATTGCATTTTCCAAAACATTTCCACACAATTTTGTGTGGGTTCTGTACAAGTGTGTTTAAAATACTGTTCTTCTGATAAGAATATTCCACAAAGACCTTTACTGGTTTTTTACTGTATTTCAAAATGCTGAATATGTGTAGAATAATAGCTATAGGCTTTCAAAGTTAAAGTAATCTGAATTCTCACTTACAATGCTTACTTACAAGTTTTTGATCGTGTTTTTTATTTTATTTTTCAGTTGTGTGGAGGTTCAGGAGTACCAGGCCATAGACATAGAAATTTACCATTGCCCGAAATGTCAACATTTAAATGGACCTCTTGTTCGTAAGTTGTGGATGTAACGGATAAGACATCCAAAAGACGAGAAATTTCCGTTTGAAACATGATAATTGTTTAAAATGACATTAAAAATAAATATTTTTGTGCATTTAATAAGTACAGGTATATATTTTCAACAACTCAACAAACTGGATTACTATTGAATGTGATTTATTTATCAGCCCAAGATGGCTGGAAAGAGTAGGTTATTTGACAGTGTGTTGTTAGACATGGGTTTGAATCCCAGTATCACGATAACTCATGTCAGGCACTTAAATGGGATCAGAAATAATGTCTAATTATAAATATATATTTTTGTTTAAAGATTTAAGGTATATCATTTTGTAATCACCACCTCTTGATTATAATAAAAACCTAATTAGTCAACATTGACTATTCTAACTCAGTCTTTTTTCTCTCCTTATGATGGCGTGATGACTGTTCTTTTATTCTATAATAATAATCAAATATTTAAAAGCATGATTTAATTCCTTTTTAGTTAAAAAGAGAAGGAATTGGCACAGACATGACTATTCCGAGGAAGATGTAGATGAAAAGGTAACTACATTATATAATTTTACCATAGCAGAGCTCAAACATTTAGCCTACATTTATTTCCCAAATATATAGATCTATTTGCAGTTGTTTTGTCACTTTTTAATGTCAATTAAGAATGGAACATCAATGAAAGCATTAGAAAGATTGCCTTAAAATTTTTATAAAGTGCAACTTCTAATTCTTCTCTCTAAAGCAATGATTAAGTCATTATGTGACTTTAGCTCAATTACTGAAGCAAAATAAAGTACATTGTACACTGTACTAAATCAAATCACTTTGTTTGTAGGCTGTACAAACAGGAACAGTTGTATTTATAAAAGAACTCAAAAACAGAACATTTCCAAGGTGAGTACCCATGTTTATATACTAAGAAAGAGGTACTCATCTGTTGAAAATCTGTGTTTCTTTAATTAAATAATATCCACACCTTATTAAGCAAACTTTGTCTGAATGTACCATAGCACTGTGTCTGGTTTCAACGTTTTAGCTCATCTGGTCCAAAGGGCTAAAGTGAACTTTACTGAATAAATCAACTTATCCCACATTCTTGGACACAAAGGTCAGGTTTGTGAAAAATAAGAAACAACTACTTCTGGTTTGTAAGGTCCAGAGTTTAAAAAATTTGGCCTGGAGCTTGCTGGGGTACATCCTCAATATCCAGGGGTTACGCTCACTTTCGCTCTCTACATCCCTGGAATGTGTCATAGCAAAAATGAAGGCACATAGCTAGCTATTTGATTGATGTCGGGTAAAAAAAACCTTACCAATCACTAGGCTTTGAAGATTACAAGGAGTGACGCCCGACTTCAAAGCCTGTCATTTTTTTACCGTTAAGCAACCGCGAGATTCTTTTGATGTACATCAAAGGACCAAACTAGTATTCTCTTCTCATCCACAAGATGCTGCACATGTACATTGAGCCTTCGTTTTTGCTATGACATATTCCAGGGGTGTAGAGAGTGAAAGTGAGCGTAACCCCTGGTTATCAAGGATGGCTGGGGTATTATATATATTATAGTTCAATTGCAAGTTTTAATTGAATCAAAAGATTATGTCCAACTTTTAATGTCTTATAAAAAAGTTGGTTAAAATCATTCAATAAAGATTCCTAAATTGAGGATTAATGTCACTTATCGTGTAGTGTTGTTAGCTTGATCGTTATGAGATTTTATCTATGCAATTTTCAAAACATTTATTGAAATAGTACCTGGTAATAGCAAAATCTGAAAGGTTATCTTTTACAGTATTCTATGACCTATTTGTGTACATATTGATTCAGTGCTGATGAGATTCCTGTGATGAGGCTACATGGCAGCGAGTTAACTCTAGACTTCCTCAAACAAACTGGGTTTCATGTTCCCATCATTGTGGAGAAGAAGGAAGGCCTGGGTTTGGTTGTGCCTCCTTCAAAATTCAGCATTGAGGATGTGGAAAATCTTGTTGGTATGTTGTGTGTTTCAATAATGTTTTTAGGTAATGTCAAATTGATATTATTCTTCATGTTTTACCTTCAATATATGGGAAAAAACATGATATGTGTCAACTCACTGGGTATCTACACTTTCAATTAATTATTTGATATTTTATAGTGTATTGCTTGTGAAGATAATCTGGGTAGGTCTAGATTAGTTCCCAGGGACAGGAATCAAGGTTATAGTTGGTAACTAAGGTTTCACAAGCCATGCAAAAGAAATGCATACCAGTATCATTAACAGAGACAGTAATTGTTTGTAATAGAAATATTTGCTTATAGCTCTCTGTTTTTGACACAAAAAATGCACACGGAAATATGAAGAAAGAGTAGTCTTAAGTTATACAAATGTTTGTTTGAATTCATTACTTACATGGCACCTATGCTGGTACCATATTCTACGTGTAGGTATTCTAATGGAACTGACATTCACAGATTTCATAAAATGGAATATATTGTTTACACCATGACCAACAGTAATAAAACGGAGATGCTGCATTTATTTTTACGGTCATTATTGCTGTTATTGACTTTAAATAGATTTTTTCTACCAGCCAGTGTGAGTCTAACTTTTTGGTTCAGGTTCCATGAGAGAAATAGACGTTATAGATGTATCCAAACAAGAGGACTACAAAATGTTGATGAGAGAATGGACAGAATACTATAACAGCCCAAACAGGTCCAAAATCTATAACGTCATCAGCCTGGAGTTCTCCAAGACACAGTAAGGCATTGTTTAGAATGCAGCATAATCATATAATATCACATAAAATCATATATTAAAAAAAATATTACATCTATACCTTGATTGAAGGTAGTCATTCCTAGTCAGACTTTATTTATAATTGAAGAAATATTAGAAAAAAAACTACACTGTATTGATATTTAGTAATATTAATATATCATTATATGGAGGGGAGGAGAGGCAGGAACTTACTTAATTGTTTTAAGTGTGAACTTATAAGTTATGATAATATGTGTTTATATTGGTGGCAGGGTCTAAAGCAATATTGTGTGATGGACCACATGAGATAAATAATTGTAATTTGACCACACAGTAAAAGGTGCTTCCCTGCCCAAAAAATATCTACCGGTAAATTTGAAATATCCCTGGAAAGGAAACCATTTGAATTTGTTATTTTTGTCATTTGTACCAGGTTGTCCGAACTTGTTATACCTCCTACCATCGTGCGACAACTGAGCTGGGTATCCAATGTATGGCCCGAGCAGTTGCCAGATGACTGTACATACACAAAGCCAGCCGTCCAGAAGTACTGTCTGATGGGTGTAAGGGAGAGTTTCACCGACTTCCATGTAGACTTCGGAGGCACCTCCGTCTGGTACCATATTCTACGTGTAGGTATTCTAATGGAACTAACATTCACAGATTTATTTAAATGGAATAATTTTTTATACCATGACCAACAGTAATCAAGTGGAGATGCTGCATTTATTTTTTACAATCATTATTGCTGTTATTGACTTAGGTTTTTTCTACCAGCCAGTGTGAGTCTAGCAGATTTCAACTAAATTTTTGACCAGCCAGTGTGAGTCTAGCAGATTTCAACTAAGTTTTCTTATGCTTTTTTCATCTTTGTGTGAAGTTTGCTTCATTAATATATGGGCATATAATCCTTTTCTTTGTGATGCTATAGTTAATTGTTTCTTGGAATTTAGGCTAAAACTTTATCTCTAACTCAAAAACCCTAATATTTCACAGGATAAATGAACAATGTTTCTGGTCATATCTTATATAATATGCATATTTTTTACAGGGAGAAAAAGTTTTCTACCTAATCCGGCCGTCCCAGGCAAACCTGACCCTGTACGAGAACTGGCTCTCTTCCTCAAACCAGAGTGAAACCTTCTTTGGTGACCAGGTGGATACCTGCTATAAGTGTGTGGTGAAGCAGGGACAGACACTGTTTGTGCCCACAGGCTGGATCCACGCAGTGTTCACACCCATCGACTCCCTGGTCTTCGGAGGAAATTTCTTACATGATCTTCAAGTACCTCTCCAACTTCAGTGAGCTTTTTCTGAATTAAAATTTTTCTAAGCTATTTTTTCCCCAAGGAAATGAAGAAAATATCTATTTTTTCAAGAACGATCAATTTTAGAGGAGGTCAAATAAGGTGTTAACTGGTTCACAAATGATGTTTGATGATCATTATGAACCTAAATGTGTTATTTTATAGTGACCTCTTAACAGTAGTGTTTTAATGTAGAAAGAACTCTATTAATGGTTGATATACATCAAAGGTTGTTTTTTTATGCCAAAAATTCTAAATATCTTTAAAAGGTACACAAATGAAATCTATTCCTAATTTTGCAATTTTTTGTGATTAATCAGGGTGTATGAAATAGAAAAGCGTGTGAAGACACCTGCCAAGTATCTCTTCCCAAGCTTTGAAACAACAAACTGGTATGCAGCCAAACACATTCTAGACTTACTGAAAGGTAATGTATACTTTTATGTCTGTGATCTGAGCCTGTCATTTGTTTGTGTTATACATGTACTACCCAAGGGGTTCCTTCCTAGTAACAGTAAACAACACAAGTCATTAGCATTTTAAGTGTACTGTTATCTTTTAGACACTATCTTCTTTGCATATTGATGTGAAATCTGACGATACAGATGTATTACAGAAATAGTAAAAAAATTTTTATTAAATACAAATATACAAATTAATAAGTATTACAATTGTGCAAGTAATTAGTATTAATGGACAAAACTGAAAATTATCAAATAGATAATAATACTAGCTGGTACAGTTTAATGCAACTTATAGCTATGGCACAATAACACAATACATCTCCAGCACACACGCAGGCATACACACATAGGGAGATATTAGCCAGGTGTCATAGGACTAGTAGTTAGTGCTTTATAAGGCAGCTCCTGCGAATTCCTCAAAAATTGTATAATTGTATTAATTGTATATCTATGTACTGTAAAGCCCTTTAGAGTGGCTTATATTAGCTAGATAGGGCGCTATATCAAATGTTGTATATTATTATTATTATGGGCAATTGGTTTCTTATTAAAAAAGATATTACTACAAAACCATAATAAATAGAAAATATCTGAAGTTTCAATTACGATTTATTTCAAAGTTTGATATTGCTGATTGAAATCTTTCAGACTTTGCCGAGGACAACACAAAACCTCCGATACATATCCTAAATGGAGGAAAGGCCTTAGCGTCACATCTCAAATCCTGGACACAGAGAAAAGATGTAAGCCTATCATTAATAGTGGTTATTGTGAGACAAAAACTTCTTTAGATATATTTTATGTACATACAGGTAAAAGTGAGAGATTAGTGAAAGTTTAACAATTTGTCATATCTTAATTATTTTGTTATATAGAAATTCATTGCACTTCAATGCTAGGGCATTTCTACCACCAAATATATATATAGATTTGATGCTTACTGGGTGGTGTAAATTTCCCTTTTGCTGTCTAGGGGATCAAATTATTCGTGATGGTTAATTTGATTCCCTAGACAACTATACAGCTGTTAATTCTAATTTCCATTGGGGTCAAGTAAAGTGTGTTTTACTGTATTCAAAGTCCATAAAGAGTGTCCATTAAATTTCTAAGCAATTTTGCTGTTAGCTATTGATTAAGTTTGTATCAGTGAACAAACGTTGGTTGTTATGCACAGCACTATATCTGGCAGTAATGAATCTGTTTACAGGGTTATTTTCGCTGCATATATTTGAAACAAAATTGTTTGAACAGTTAACAGTCAGAATGAATTCTCCAGTTATACAAAACAGAAGTGTTACAGTAGAAAATACCTCAGTATACAGAACAGGTTGATATATTTGACTGTGATCTTATAGAAGAAACTACCCCAGTATACAGAACAGGTTGATATGTTTGACTGTGATCTTATAGAAGAAAATACCCCTGTATACAGAACTGGTTGACATGTTTGACTGTGATCTTATAGAAGAAAATACCCCAGTATACAGAACAGGTTGATATGTTTGACTGTGATCTTACACATGAATGTCTTCTCTCTTTTCCTGCTGTGGAAATGTTGGATGACTGGTTCGTTCACAACAGTTGAACAACCTGCATCTAGTGAGTTATATAATTTCTTCTCTGCATTTACTATTTCTCCAGTGGGCTGGTGTTTTGAAAGTTCTTTTTGTAGTTTTGTATCCATCTTTTGTCTTGTTGATGCTTGTGACCTGTAGAGACTATTTATATACCTTCCTTGTCACATGATCATAAAACAAATGTCACATGATCATGATGCAGGATCACATGATCATGATGTAAATGTCACATGATCATGGTATAATGTCACATGATCACAATGTTAATGTCACATGATCATGATGTAATCGTCATATGATAATGATGTAATTGTCACGTGATCTGGATGTAATTGTCACATAATCATGACGTAAAATGGCACATGATCATGATGTCATTGTCTTGTGGTTGTATGGTTAGTGTCACATGACTAGATCAAGAGTATTTTCAGTACATAAAATGCTGCATGTTGAATAATAACCACTTTATTTCTGGCTCTTTGGCAAGCTGTAGAATATGCAGGTCATTCCTTCCTGTGTATGGAAGCGGAAATATTATCTCTGCCCTGCTTCACTAAAACGCTGACTAGAAACCAGCTTCCGTACATTCTTATATAATCCCCTCATTACTTAGACTCACGAGGAACTAATAAGTAGATGCCTATGCCTGTGGTGAGAACTTCTAATGACATCATCATTTTGTGTTCCATTAGACATTGTATCTATAATATGATCATTATGTTCTAATATAAAGAAACATCACAAGACAAAAATTTATTAAGTTCATGCATTGGGAGAGTTTGCTTTTTGTTCATTTTTGTACTTTCATTGTTTTGTAGTTACTACAGTTTTGTTCACTTTCTGATTTTAGTCCACAACTTATGACCAATATTCAATGGTTGCCTAGACAAAAAAATACTTAACACTTTTGCTTGTCAGAAAATGTTGTCAGATATTTATAGCAAAAAGGGAGAGAAGTGATAAAGGCATGGCCTGTTGTTCGAACCTACTCATATACCATCTTGAATTAATTTGTTAAAATGGAATTGTACTGTGTATGTTGAAGCTGGATATGATATTTATCTGTTTTGAGAGTATCAATATCATAAACTGTTGTTCAATTTTTAAAACAGAACTCAATACACCACTGACTGTCTGAATTTTACAAAAGGCTGATACAGCCCTACAGCAGGCTACAGTGTTGTTTTAGTAAAAGGGATACATATCTTACAGACATGTACAGTATTTACATTATATCCGGGCACTTCTAGTAACAGGATAAATGAGGTCGACAGGCCTGAACGATTAGGAAATAAACAGTATACTGGGCAGTGGCATGATAAATGGCTTTAATTGCTTTGCATTGACATTACATTAAACTTTATGGTAAGGAGCATATATAACGAGATTTGATTAAATGGACAACTGGGTATGAACACCGTAAGTATAAGTTACATGAAAGAGAAAAATGCATTATTTTTATGAAACTGGAAATGATATACCCGGTAATGGGTATATATCTAAAATTCAAAATAAATCTAGACTTATAAACTTGTATGTTTCACACTTCAGCAAGGCCTACAATACATGAGTATATGTTTGATGTTGTTTGGTCTACCTTGTACAGTACAGTGATATGTTGAGCAGCCTATAGCTAGTGTGTTATTGCCCCTAAAACAGATTTGATACCACAGTGCGGCTGCTGTTTGGCCTAGTACATGTATGAACAAACTGCTCATATATCTAGCACTATTCGCCATGCTCCTGCACAACTAATTTGTACGATACCTTTCCTACTGTGATCGACACTGAATCAGCATTACCTTGTTTCATTTTACATGTTTCAGTTTGTTGTCATTACTTTAAAGTTAGTAATTACGCTGTCACCTGAAAAAATAAGTATTTGTCGGTTCTGGTAAAATTTTGATGTAAAGTTAATCCATTGCTTTTATCTGCATAATTAATAATGTAATGATTTTATACTTTTTAAAGATTTTTGATCAGTTTTTGAATTTATAGATGAAACACAATCTATCCATATAAAAGTTATTCATTAAATCTATATTATTAACAGTAACTGAACAATGAGATAATTAGCTTATAGTTATGTACTATACAAATTTCAGTTTGTAAAAGATGCCAAGCATGATGTCCCCGAGATGATACAGTATGGAAGGTTGTTAAAAGACCTAAACAAGGCATGGAGGAGGTTTGACACTCCAGTAAGTTTTGTCTTCATTGTTTATTACATGTTTACAGATCACATATTCGCTATATGTCAAATGTTGTTCTAGAATGCTTTGATAGAAACATTTTCTTCTATATGTTCAGCATTCTAGGGCAAGTAAGATATTTCATGTAATACAGGCGTGCTGGGTTCAGTTAACCTTGAATCAAACAACATTTCCAATAGTGTCACTGATCCTCTTATTTTGGCTATTTTCCCCTGACAGCAGAGACAAGATTTCTTTATACAAATCCCAAATTTAATCCTCCATTAATAAATAGGTACATTATTCTTTAAGACTGCATTGATCTCTGCATCAGCAGTAAATGTTTCATAGCAGCTATTAATCAGGGTTTTTTTGTTCATTGATTCCTTTATAGTGACAGTAGTAGTGTTTAAAAACAATTGGGTGACTTCTGGAAATTATATAATCCCTGGGGGTGCTCATATTAGAGCAGGTGTCCCTGGGCATGCTCTTTTTAGAGCAGGTGTCCTTGGGCGTGCTCTTATTAGAGCAGGTGTCCTTGGGCATGCTCTTATTAGAGCAGGTGTCCTTAGGTGTGCTCTTATTAGAGCAGCTGTCTCTGGGCGTGCTCTTATTAGAGTAGGTGTCCTTGGGTGTGCTCTTATTAGAGCAAGTGTCCTTGGGAGTGCTCTTATTAGGGCAGGTGTCCCGGGGCATGCTCTTATTAGTGCAGGTGTCCTTGGGTGTGCTCTTATTAGAGCAAGTGTCCTTGGGAGTGCTCTTATTAGAGCAGGTGTCCTTGGGTGTGCTCTTATTAGAGCAGTTGTCTCTGGGCGTGTTCTTATTAGAGTAGGTGTCCTTGGTTGTGCTCTTATTAGAGCAGGTGTCTCTGGGCGTGCTCTTATTAGAGCAAGTGTCCTTGGGTGTGCTCTTATTAGAGCAGTTGTCTCTGGACGTGTTCTTATTAGAGTAGGTGTCCTTGGTTGTGCTCTTATTAGAGCAGGTGTCCCTGGGCGTGCTCTTATTAGAGCAGGTGTCCCTGGGCATGCTCTTATTAGAGAAGGTGTCCTTGGGCGTGCTTTTATTAGAGCAGGTGTCTCTGGGCATGCTCTTATTAGAGCAGGTGTCCTTGGGCGTGCTCTTATTAGAGCAGGGGGCCCTGGGGTGCTCTTATTAGAGCAGGGGGCCCTGGGAAATAACTGAGGCCTAGAATGTTGATATTTGGCCATTATTATATAGAAATTTTTGGTTTTACTCTGTTTTTGTTGTCTTTATAAAGAAAGAATTTTACTTCATGTATAAGCTGAATGTTAACTGCTTTGACCATTTTAAAATCTGTTTTCGTCTTACACTTATTACATCTCAGAACATTTTCGTACATTAATAAAGTTTATTGGGTTTTAATATGGTGTCAAAAGTAATCATTGTAATTCATGAATGTATCTGTTTTGCAGACAAAAGGCAGTCCAGTGAAATTAAAAATAGAAAAACAGAAAATTGAAAAACCAAAAGAGAAACAGGAGAAAGAGAAGCACGAGAAAGAGAAGGAGAAAGAGAAAGAGAAAGAGAAAGAGAAAGAGAAGTCCGTTAAAACTAAAAAGAAGAAAAAGAATGTGCCCCCCAAACAGATGGTCAACCTTGACCTCCTTCACCAACACACTCAGGAAAAACTTATGGAGATGGAGAATGAGCAGAAAAAGAATATCTACGAATTCCCTGTATGTTTACATTCAGTTTGTCATCATTTAAATTCCACACTTCTTCAACTGTTTGAATTTAAAATTTGTTCTCTTTGAGTTAAATGCAAATATAGAGACATAAAATAATAAACTTGGCAACTACTGATGTCTGCATATTAAACTTTTTAGGTCACCTGAGCTTTAGCTCAAGTGACCTATTGCTATCCGTTTTCGTCCGTCGNTAAACAGAATTTTTCAGGTTTCACTCCGACATATACTTAAATATGAATTTGTGTGTGTGTGCTTAAATACCATTTGCAATGTATGGTCAAGTGTTTCAATCATTTTAAACAGGATGACGACGATGATTCCCTTCCTGGTTCCCTGAAAGTCAGAGTTCCTAAGGCTGGGGCGTACATAGATTCAGCTCTCAAACAGGAAAAAAAGGGTTCCGTCAAGCTGGAAATGACAGATATGCCGCAAAGACAGGAGAATGTGCCGCCAGATGGATTAGTCATAGAGTCTCCTTTGGACTCTAAAGCGATAGCTAAGGGATTAAAGCTCAAAGTGTCAAATGGAAAAATTGTCAGGTGAGTATGTAAAACAGTTTATCCTTTAAAAGCTAACATAGCTAAACACTTGATTTTTGGGGGGTCTTCGGGGTCTTTTCTCCTGGAATTTAAGCTCAGTTTCCCCTATTTGAATAGTCATTCAGCAATCTACTGCAATCAATTTGAGAATGTCCACATGATAATTATATGTAAAAAATCTGTCTTTTTCTCCCATTTCATGCAGACTTTGTATATACAGTCAAACCTCGTTATCTTGAAGTCGACGGGATCGTTGGGAAACTTCAAGTTATCCGAGTATTCGAGTTAAGCGAGTTCCTATGTTTGGTATATATGTCATTGATTTCTCTGACAATCAACGTATTTCAACAGTCGGATAAATGACTAAAAGATTGTTATATAAAATAAAAAATAACAACTTATTCATAATCATATTCATTAATTAATTAATGTTACAATAAACACACATGGTGTCTCCGACCTCGTGCTATGCTGATAGAAATTTCAATGCGGAAATGAAAGTGCGCAAGTCTTTACACAAATCACTGTACTGGAGCGTACACGTTGGATTGCTCAGTTGATTTCGACATTCCAAAAATGGGTATGAATTAATCAGGAAACATATCCACATTGATAGACTCCAATGACACTTGACATCTTCTCAACACGACGTACTCAACAATAATTATTGTATTGTTCCTATAATCTCTCAAGACTGCACACTGTGACCCATTTTCCGGTTAGAATGTGTCGGCAGCTTTTGGTAGTATCTTTCAATAAAAAGGGTTGTTAAAATGTAAGGTCTAAGTCTCTGTCAAATAATAGCAGAAAAGCCGCAAAGTACAGATACAAATTAATACATGTACCAGTGCCAGGTTTTACCAGGGTAGATTACAATGCTTGTACAGTTGTTATCTTTTTTATTTTGAGATAAAGAACATAATTATTTCAAAAAGTCAAGGTGGATAAATACATAGCTATCGCATGATACATGTATATCATTATCTTGTCTAGAACAAAGATTATGAACTGATGAAGATCATGTGATAAAACGTCATGAATATGAGTATTGTGGCAAAAGCTCACACCCCACCTGTACAGGTACATACCCTCAAGGTCAAGTTCCAAGTTAAAGGTCAAAGGTCAAATCACTGCAATACTTCTCCAGACTTGTAAACTATAACTGCTTTGCAGTATATATTATGAAAGGTATATGCATTGTGACAAGATTGTGTGTTTTATACCACACTTGTTTCCATACCCTCCAGAGCCAGGCCACTGCAAGGGGTCACTATGATGCTTGTCCAGACAAACTTTGAGTCATTTAACATTGTATCGAAGCTTTTCAGATTACATAACACAGTTAACTAAGATCAGAGTTACATAGACGCACATTGTCACGTATCACTTTACCCAGGGTTCCCCGAGTTACGTAGACGCACATTGTTACGTATCACTTTACCCAGGGTTGAAATCTCAATGGGCAGAACACTATAACCAAGATCAGAGTTACATAGACGCACATTGTCACGTATCACTTTACCCAGGGTTCCCCGAGTTACATAGACGCACATTGTCACGTATCACTTTACCCAGGGTTGAAATCTCAATGGGCAGAACACTAAAACCAAGATCAGAGTTACATAGACGCACATTGTCACGTATCACTTTACCCAGGGTTGAAATAGCAATGGGCGGTATCATTGTTGAGGCCTAGTCAATCGTTTTAGAACATTGATCAATGCAAACCCAATCATTATAATTACCGTACATTGATATTGTTTTGCAGTGATGTGAAGAAGAAAGGTAAAGGTACAAAAGTTGGTGGGAAGTTCCAGGCATTGGTCGGGGGCGATGGTGAAGATGCTGACAGTGATACAGACACTCTTGTTGTGGACGAAAATCCACAGCGAGGGAAAAGGGTAGCAGGGGCAGGTGCCAAGACTGCAGCGGGAACTGGCCCCAAATCAGCCTCCACACTGAAACCAGGATCACTCAAGTTAAAACTATCATGTTAGTAGTGTTTCTAAGCAAATGATACATTGACTGAAGTTTTCTAGGATTTTGAGGAGCCAACCACACAACTTTTTCATCTAAACTGAATCATTTTGCCACCTTACATTGAGCAAGTACAATGATCAAGTTTCAATTTGCCATCGTTTTGAATTCACATTCTGATATTTCTTGCTTAAGTGGAAAATTTCTATCAGTTTTTATGAGATAATTGAGGAGTTTACAAATATTTATTGATTCTCGTTGATTAACTTTTCTTAGTCCTTGGAAAAACTGCCCAACCAGAGTCTTCTACAAGCCAGGAGAGCAGCCAGGAGTCTGATGTAACAGCTAGTCAGAGTGACTCGGAAAGTCAGGAGGAAGATCAGGCTAACCGCGCAAACCTGCCAACGATACGAGGAGGACTCAATGGTAGCATAGCGGATATACTGGAGGCTAGCGGGTACGGCACAGAGACCGACTTCAAAGTGGACGATGACATTGGGTATGCTGTTTACATACGGATTGCATTAATCTACCAGGAACTTGCTAACCTGATTTCTAACTTTTGATACAAAGATGGTATCAGCAGTCAATAGGTCACATCATAATTACTAACATGAGAAACCAAAAGATTTGGTTGGCTTGGACAGTCATTCCCTTATCTTCCGACTTGGACAGGTAAAATGTCATGTAGGAGATTTATAGCAGGTCACACAAAATATAAGAGTGTCACACCTTAAGGTAAGCATGTCACTTCTTCGTAATGAAACAGTTAGTGGAAATAGCTGCATTTAATTGCAATTTTAGGTAAAGGTACCTGTAACTTTTTTTGAACTATGGTTAACTATTGTTTTCTATTTGAACAGAAGTGATACTAGAAATAAGTATATCAAGATTTACATTCATTGATATATATGTACTGGTAAACCTAGAATTGACTAATTTTCCCATGTGTTGTCAGCATCACATTCTGAGTCCTGTCATCTTTTCAGGAGAGCTCCATCACCTAGTATGAGGGATGCAATCCAAGGCATGCTGTCAATGAGTCAGATGGGTGGGATGGAGCTATTCTCCAAGGGGAAAGGTCGACGCACCATACGTCTGCAGCAGCGGTCAAAACTAGTAATGGAAGAAGAGGAAAAGCTTGATTCCTGCTATAAAGATGAAGAATTTGGTAAATTATAAGAAACCGTCATAATTGCTAGTTTATGTAGTACCTATTTAAAAAAAAGTTTTACCTTTTGTGTTTAATGATATTGTTTAAACATGCTGTTAACATCTTACTGTATTTATTCCACAGTAAGCCCAGAAGGCTGGCACATAATCTCTGACTCAAATAAAGGAGGAGGGCTTATTACTGGATGATGAATTAGCATTTGTTGACATTTCTTATGAACTATAAGAGATCTGAGTGGGCCTAATACCAGGCATGGGCTTATAACCCAATAAATATGGTACTTCTTTGGCCTAGTGTTAACATGCATTTAATTTTTTTCTCTCTGTGAACAGTTTATCCCACGCTAGACTTATCAGATGATGAAGCAGAGCAGATATTCAAAGCACAAAGTAAAGCCAGTAAAGATGACACCTGGAATCCAAAAGGTATTAGATTATTAAAAATTGGTCCCAGTAAAATAGAAAATCTTGGAAAAGTAGGTTTTGTGACTGATCCATAACAGATCATGTAAAAAGCCCTTTTAAAAAAGAGAATTCTCAAGGCTTTCTTTGAGGATGGAACATCAAATTCTTTTCTTTTTTAATCTTTTGCTAAAGGAGGGGAAACAAACCTAAGTTAGTTACTTCATCCCAAAACACTATACCTACTGATGGCAGTTTTATGGAAAATAGATTATGTATAGTTACCATGGAAACCAGAGCTCCAGTAGGAAAAGGATAGCTGATGGCTATCAGACAACTATAACTGATATAGAAACCTAATTATGATCATCTTGGATATCCTACATAAATAATGCCCTTTTTCCTTGATTAGAAAATCCAAGGTCTCCACACTCTGCTGCTTCTGATTGAGCAAGATGTATATGTCAACAACTTTTGTTCTATTCATACTTGCTGATAGATGGTACTAATGCATTGGATAGTCTACATGATGAATAAGGGGATATTGTCTAGATTCCATAATCAAAGATGGCTGCCATGGCTTCTGATTGGCTGAGATCTCTCTAGCTATTGATCATGTTCTGCTGGTCTGTTTTTATTCATACCTGGTGGTAAATGATAGTTTTCATGTACATACTTGGGTAATCCATATTCCTAACTACAAAATGATTGGTATGGCAGTTATTAAGTATGGTAAAGCACAAGGGCCCTTGCTATCCTGTCAGTGTTCTATTAATCAGCATCTGTTTATTTATTGCCTGTGAATAATTCTGTAGAAGTATATATCTGTATGTGTGATGTCTTGTTTCAGCTCGTGTCCAGGTGACAATACCTAAAGGGGACCGACCTCACCGTGAGGGAACGAAGAAGGAAGCTATGGAGCATGTCATGGCAGCCACTGCAGCCAAGCCTGCTGCCTCTCTTGTAAGAAACTCTTTTGCTTTTGTCACTTTAATTACACATTTTAAGCTCACCAGGCCTGTAGGGCCACGTGAGCTTATGCCATACTGCGTCATCTGTCGTCCGTCCCTCAACTTTTTCTTTTAAACAACTTCTTCTGAAGAACTGGAGGACCTAGGGTCATGATATATGGCCAGTAGGTACCTGGGATGGAGTGCTATGAAGTTTTCTCTTTAAAATGACCTTGACATACTTTCAAGGTCACAGGGGTCAAATGTGTTAAAAATTTCAAACAACAATATCCTAAGAACCATTTGGACTAAAGTCATGATACTTGAGTATGGTATGTAAATCAGCTGTGTGATTACAGTAATGTGGTAAAAGGTCAATTTTAAGTGCTAGCCAGAGTCAAAGGTCAACATGGGTTAAAAAGCCTATAAATTAGAATTTCAACAACAATATCTTAAGAACCATTTAAGAGATGTTAAAATGTCTTGTGTTCTAGTTACCAAATTTGGTCTGAAGTTACCTTTATATCAGTTTCATGTAACAAAAGAAACGGGGTGTGCGATACAGGCCCTCTGGGCCTCTTGTTTTATTTACATTTAAAGCTTCATTCTCTTAATAGCAATTAATCAGAAAGTGATAGGTATTGCTGATATTCTAAAATTGGCAGACAATATCATGACAGTAATAGCTACAAGATGTGATATTTTTAAAGTTTGAAGTTACAACAGAGCGACCTTAGTGACTTCAATGATTATACAGTCATGATGCCATTCAAGTTTCACTTTTTTTCATTGATGTCCATGGATTTTTTCAAGAAATGTTTTGCTATATTTTCAAATCCTTTCAGTGTGATAAAATCTTATTTAAATGTGATTTTTGAAATTAATCTTGTTACTAATAAAAAAAAAATGCCCTCTTTTATAATATCCTTTTACATATTTTTTATTTAAGAAACCAAGACGGCCCAAAAAGCGAACAAAGTCCGAAAGTTTTTCCGAGGGAGAAGGTCAAGGCACTTCAGCAGGCCTGTCTTTGTCCTCATCAGCACCAGGTAAGGACTTTAGTAGTACTTCATACTAGACAAAATGAGATAAAATAGAAATTAAAGCAAAATGACATCAACTTTTGAAATCCATTTACACAAAAGACAGAGATTAGTGTAAGTTAAACAAAGTGCACTGATCTCTAATAATTGTACATTCTTTCCATAAGGGCTCACAGAAGCCCTGCCCATTTTTATGCCCCCGCCATAAAATGGGGAAAATTATGATTGTCATCGGGAATATGATATTGGCAATTATGATCCCAAGTTATTGTTGTCTCTTGGTGTAGGGTAGCGGTTGTCAGAATCATACTGTATACCAGGTATGAAAAAAATCAATAACCATTGAAAGATGTAGTCATTCTGAGGTAAATCTATGAAATAATGGTTTAGTGTAATATAGTTAAAATTGCATAAATTTTGACTTGAAGTTTTACATCCACGTTTAAGGTTCAGCATTCCGTCCAAGCTTATCCTCCAGGCCAGCTAACCCTACTCCTGATAGTCCCCCAAAACGTAAGTATCACAGCAGTCCGCCACACATTAAGTACCTGTCAAAACACTTACCTTGTCCAGCCCAATGTTTCGTGTGATATGTACAGGCATTTCAGTCCTCAGGTGAGGTTCACGCTTATATAGTGCTTTTCATATGAATGACAAGGATTCCAGATGAATGAAACTGGAATTATCACTTCAAAGGACTATGTATGGTTTGGGCCTGTTTTGGCCCCGTAATGCATCAAAATTCAAAACCTTTAAATGAACTTTGAAATGACTGTTTCTTTAATTTAGAATACTTCCCAAATACTATTATGAAAATATTTATTTATATTTCTAATTATTGTTGCTATGGTAACAAGTTCAAATTCGCATAAATTAGAAAAAAATGAATATTCAGTGGATATTTTGCATAGTTTTTCTCCTAGAAACTATAGAGCGCATGCTTGAACAAACTTAATATCAAAGGATAATGTGTAGGCATCAGTAATACATCTTTAGGAGAAAATATAAAGTTTGTTCAAGATTGCGCTCTATGGTAACTAAGAGAAAAACTAGGTGAAAACCTGTCAAAATTGACTGAATAATCAAATTTCAATAATTTATGCAAATATGACCTGTTTACCATGGCAGCCAAAATTGAAAACACAAATAAAAGTTAGCATAATAGTACTGGGGAAGTATTAAAAATTAAAAAAACATTCGTTTGAAAGTACTATTGCAGATTTTTAATTTTGACGGATTTGGGGGCCAAAAAAGGCCCAACCATACATCACTCAATTAGTTCTGGAAAATAAACTTTTTTTTCTGGATTATACTATGGAGGTTTCACTGTTAGCAAGTTTATGGGAACATTCAATGATATCTCCTGGTATTGCAACATTTTAGCTCATTCTCTCCTACATAATTAAACTGGACTTGCCCAGTCTATGATTTGGTAAGGTTCAAATGTGACTTTAAGGGTGAATGGGTTAAAGGAGTGAACAAGGCTTCATCTTAATTCAAGGAAACTTTTGTTCTACTGTGTGTCAAAGTTGTTTACTATTTTTTCTAATGACAATGTAACAGGCATATGTTTCTCTTTAGGGCAAAATAGTTATCACCATTCTAAATATAAGTATTCATATTTCAGCAAAAAAGCCTCGGAAGGGACAAGCCACAGCCAAGCAGCGACTAGGGAAAATTCTCAAAATGCACAAGATGAAAATATTTTGACAACACACAGGTTTCAATAGTATTATTGCTATACAGCCACAGTACTGCCAATCAGGGACTATGCCAAAGTTTCATATTGTTTGTCTTATTTTTTTTAATTTTATAAAAAAAAGAAAAGACAAAAAGGCCACGTCAACAACATCAGAGAAAGGCATCCAAATGTTATCACTACATGCATGATTTTTATTTATTGAAGTATTTGAAAACCATGAATGCCTTTTTACTTCAATTTCATTTACATAATCATTGGAAAGAAAGTGTGAATGCTTGGTAAGATTTTAATATTAACAAGGGGTTAAGAAATAAAAATAACAACTTTAAATTATGTTGCGCAAGTGCTATTACCGAGGGAGTTTTCAGCTGTAGTCGTTTTCAATATTATTTCTGGATCACTTCAACATGTGGCTTTTGTACGAATAAATTTGGTAGGTCATTCATTCTCTTATACAGATTTATTTAGAGTTTATGTTTAAATGCAAATCTAGTCTTTTTTAAATGACAAATATGTACCTAATTATACCTCATATTTATGTTTAAAGATTATGTTACGTCAATACAAATCTGACTTTGAAATTAATTTGTAAAGTTATTTATCTGTCAAATGCATTAGTAATATTGAAAAACCACTAAAAGGTTGAACTTGAAATATGTGCATTGGTTGATGAAAAATTTCCAATTATCAGTGCAGAAAAGATTTCAGGTAAAATAGTCACAATAAGAAAGACGTTTTCTCTGATGATCTCAAATAATGACAAGTGATCTCATCTAACTAGTATGGCTTTGGAATGGTAGCTGAGCCTATTTAGTTGCAGACAAAGATATTTTTATTTAGTAAATATGTTCTATTGCTGATGAACTTTGTTAACTTTGCTTCAGTTATTTTCAGTTCAACAAATTTTGTTGATACAAATTGTACAAATGGAGAAGTTCCTGGGCAAGTCTGTATAAATTAAATTCTTTCCCTGGGTGGTCATGAAGATGATTGAAAACGTTGTGAAAATAAACAATCGAAACATTTACAATTTACAAAACGTTTTCAGTAGGAGGTGATAAAAATTTAAGAGCTTGACATTTTAAGATCTATGTATTGTGTATACATATTATTATAAGGGCTATTCCAGAAGCAAGTATATACTTTGGGGGTTCGACGGGCAGGTAGTCACTTACAATTGATAATGTGATATTGATATTGTATATTTTATAGTCACAAATTTTATGTTAGGTACAAGTGTAAAAGAAAGTGTACGACTCATTGTAATACATGTATCCCATTTTTTATGAGAAGTAAAAACACTTTGATATCCCAACTCACCTCCATTTAATACCGGGATCTACTTGTATATCTCATTCCTTAACTGTGATAATGCAGCATGTCACAGCATGGTTTGACATTACTTTTAAGCAATAAAATCTATTAGAACACGTATATGTTTCTGCTAGATTACACGTCATTGAGAAATTACAGTCAAACTGTTATTTCAGACTAGGAAAATACAAATACATTTATCATCAAATTATTTCCTCATTACTTTTTTCTTAGGCATCCTTTCCGCTTCTTTTTTAAGTTGAAATCAATACATATTTGTATGTTTGTAAGTTCAAAATCATAATTTGCTGTCAAAAATTACAAGAAAGCTGTTTCCTTTGCACCAACACAGGACTTCAGATTTATGAAAAAGTTTATTAATCCTATTGATAAAATAAAGTTAATATGTTGATGAAACTGTTATTAAGATATACCAGGTAACTGCTATTTTATGACAGTTGACTGGAAAATAACATCTCAGCTGAGTACCTAGGTAATCCCCAACGCACGTTTTTGTCCAGTCCTTTCTGGTCCTTTCTGAAGTTTGACTGTTTTAATTTGTTTCACTACAGAAGATTTTGATAGATACACTCATCATGCAAAGCAGTAATGTAGGACTGGAAATGATAAATATAGGACTAAATGCAAATTTTCCAGGAGTATGTTCTTTAATTGTGTTTTTTGATTCATGAAGATCATACATTGTGTTAAGAGATTGTATGTATGCATCATCTTAAATCATTCTCGATATCCAGGGGTTACGCTCACCTACATACCGGTAGGAGAGCGTAATCCAGGGCTTTCTAGGATGCATCTTACATGTGATTGATGTATTTGTGTATGGGAGGACCATGCATATTGAACATGTATTTGGTGTACGGGAATACCATATGTTGATTGCTCACACTATATATTGTATAGAGTCTAAATGAAAGGCAGCAGTGACAGTTAATGTCACGCCATGCATTGTTTGACACAGTGTATGTTGTAGCACTGTAAGAAAAAATTGTATATAAACTTGTAATTAGATGACAAATTTGTATATTTTTCCTGCATCAAGATAGTGTACAGATATAGTTCATTTTTAAAATGATTGTGTAAAATTTTGTCTTGATGTACAGGTGCAGTTCATTTGTATATATATTCATTGAATATTTCATTACGTTTATGAAAATTAGTGTATGCATTAATTTCCATATCGAGTACATATATTTCATATATAAAATAGGGGATTTCAGTGTACACCCACGTTAATATTTATAATGAAATGGTTGTTTAACTGCCATACACAAAGTGAAATGCTAAAGGTACAGTAAGGGAAACTAATTTGATATTATTTCCAATAATTTTAAAGAATTTGTATTCATCCAGAGTTAAAAGAAAATCAGTTTTATTTAAAAAATAAAAATAGAACAATAAAAGTAGAGATTGTACTAGTACCATCACAGTTTTATAGTGACAACACTTTTAAAGGTTGTCTTTCCTTTCTCTAGCTAAACAAGTCATTATGATCATAAAATAAAGACAATAGTATGCCAGTCATGTGATGATACCCCTAGTAGACAAACTGATAATCAGTCGTCTTTACAACCAAACAAATTCTGCCAGACTAACTCTCGTTAAAAAGAGATGAACAGCATAGTAGATAAACACTGCCTTACTTTTCACAGCATGGTAGATAAACACTGCCTTACTGTTCACAGCATAGTAGATAAACACTGCCTTACTGTTCACAGCATGGTAGATAAACACTGCCTTACTGTTCAATGATCATCTCAAAGGAGAATATCTCAAGGAATAAAGTGGCTATTAAAAACAATTTTTTTGAAGGAATTATTTCCTAAAATGAATTGAGAACTACAATATATTTGATTTCTGAAAAGACAGTTATCTATGAACTTAACAAATATTAAGAAAATTAAAAATTATTTCTTAAAATAAATATTAGAACTACAAGATATTTGATTTCTGAAAAAAAAGAGTAATTTTAATGCAAAAGACTTAATCAATTGTAAAATATTTATGAATATTCATTGTAGCATGTAATTTACACTGTAGAAGGTTCAAAGACTAACAAAATATTTATGATAATCCTATTCAGTATGTTCTTAGATATGTCAACTTGGAACAAACAACGCTTTGAATTAAATCTGCGATTCCACAATTCAAAGTTTTTAGCTCACCTTGCCCGAAGGGCCATGTGAGCTTATGCCGTACTGCGCCGTCCGTCGGCCGTCCGTCCATCAACTTTTTCTTTTAAACGACTTCTTCTGAAGAAGGGATGGAGTGCTATAAAGTTTCCTCATTAAAATGACCTTGACCAACTTTCAAGGTCACAGAGGTCAAATATGTTAAAAACTTCAAACAATTATATCCCAAGAACCATTTGGACTAGAGTCACAATACTTGAGTATGTTATGTAGACCAGCAGTGTGAATCTTTTTCTTATCCACAGTAATGAGGTTTAAGGTCAACTTTTAAGTGCTAGTTGGGGGTCAAATGTCAACATGGGTTAAAAGCTTTAACAATCTTCTTAAGTTCCATAAGGCCTAGGGTCATAATATTTTGTCAGTCGGTATCTGGGATAGACTGCTATAAACTCTCCTCATTAAAACGACCTTGATCTACTTTCAAGGTCACAGGGCTCAAATATGTTCAAAACTTCAAACAACAATATCTTGAGAAGCGTTTAAGAGATGTTAAAATGACTTGTGTTCTAGTTACCAAATCAGGTCGGAAGTTACCTATATGTCAGTTTCATGTAAAAAAAGAAACAGGTGAGCGATACAGGCCCTCTGGGCCTCTTGTTAATAATTAACAACTTTTTGCAGCAAAGATTAGCTATGATGAGAGAGTTAGTGTTTATACTTGATAACTTAATGTTTAAAAAACCCACTATAAGTTAATATATACTAGTAGCCATAAAAAGTGACCAGTAATATATACCAGTAGCCATAAAAAGTGACCAGTAATATTTACCAGTAGCTATAAAAAGTTCCATTATCTATGCCTGAACAACAGACCACAGGTCTAAGTTGTTGAATGCCTACAGTTTAACTGTTTATACCGCTTGATTTGAGTTCACAGTTTTTGAGTTTGTGAATTAAATCCAAAATGATTATCACACCATCACTTTACTCAACTCACTTAATCATCCAAGAAAACTCAATATATTTTTTCAAAAAGTGTGATTTGAAAAAGTGACCTTGACACCTTAGGATAGAGGTTGAGAATAAAAGTGCTTTCCAAATGGAATTGTGAGAATATTTTTAAACCTTTTAGATCAGGTAGTAAATAACGTAATTTAAAACGGGAGAAAAACAACACTGCTTGTGTTAAAATAAGAATATAAATATCCAACCATTCCAAGGAGATGTTGCAGGTTTTGGTTCACTTTTCTCTTGTAATGGAAATTGAAGAAATCTAGACAAAACAAAGTGGTAACCTGTACTAATTTTTTAAATATTTTTTATGCAATGTCTGCTATCAAAAGTACACTTCCATGAATATTGAAGTGTTTTTGGGCTGTCGTCTGTTTTAAAATCTACACATTGACTGACTCTCCTGACATACTGCTGTAGTGATGGCAGCATCCTAGTGTCTTCCTGACTTTTTAGTTGTGTGGCACACAAGCTACTATTTCTCCTATTTCTTCCTTTCAATAATTCTCCAGTTTTCTTCTTCTGTCATATTGCTTTCATTCACCTTGTACAAACATGCTGTTGTACAAATTGTAGATATTATTTGGGTAAACCTTAATAGATATAAAAGTTCTGTTTCGTTGATATTATATTTTTTTTCTTGAATATATTTATTCATAAACATTTGTTTTAAATTTTTAACAGAAAAAAATTGTTAATGTCTCAAGTTACATGTATTTATTTATTGTTAAGGGTTGAAAACGCTGTTTACTTTGCTTATTGTTTGAGAATTTTTGTATTGTACAATATCACGTTAAGTTCTTACTGTACATAAAATGTATGTGTACATAATGTATAATGCAAAATATCAAAAATTGTATATACTGTATATATGACTACACAAATAAATCTAACAAAGGCAATCTATTACCTGCTTTGTGTTGTATCATGACTTACCCTCAGGGTATACGTTACTCATTTACTGCCTTTGCGATAGGGAAACACAAATCTTTGTTTTCCTGAGAAAAAGGAAATATGACCGGGAAAGTCGAGAGAACCAGGAACCACAGTATTCTATTTCCCCGTCATGTAATCAATATAATCCAATCGGACACTCTGTTATGTAATTGAGGTATAATGATACGATAATCAGTAAATTGTGTCTGTTATATTATCTTATTTAATTCCGTTACTTTACCTAATTATATTACCCTCAAGAGAACCACAAGCAGAGCATTATATATCTGTTATATCTGTGGAATTGATATAATTGGGAAATATATGTCCGTGCAAACTAGAACAATTTGCACCTCTATAGTTCAAGAAATGTATGTTATCAGCACTATCTTACCTATTTATATTTTGTATCTGCGGTCTGTCTTTTTCCTGGGGTACAAGTGGTTCTCCATCCTCGATATTCAGGGGTTACGCTCACTTAAGCTCTCTGTAGTGAGCGTAACCCCCTGTTTATCGAGGATAGTTGTGCTGAAAAACTTCAAGCTACCAGAAAGCCATGGGAAAAACTAAGTTGCCATCGTGAAAATTGACGCAGGATCCGGGTTATAAGACATGGGAATCTTCATAGATACGCGTTAGACAAATGTTAACATATGTAATTTAGCGGACGTCAACGTTTAGCGTATTCTCGAATTTCAACAGATACGCATATATTGATGAACTAGCGCAACAAAATAATTCTGAATTATTTAAGTGCATTATTGTTAAATAACGGAAAGTGCTGAAAATAGAATACCACCAAAATTTGGACGTTTACAGTAACTCTTACAAAAATTGACGCAGGATTCCGATCTCCGCAACACATACAAAACTTCATTAATGAAATCAGTGGGACAAGTTGCACTTACAAAAGAGTGTTAGAAAGGGGGAAATCTGACATGCGATGGGTAATTAAAATAGAGAGCTAATGAAAATAGAGAGTTTGTAATCGTTTCACTCTGTACGACCTTTTAACACGTTCGTCTCGGGTTGTACACATGCATGGTTCGGCGTTGCCCTACATGTCTGTTAACTTTTAATTCCTGGGGTTACTCCTAAACCGTTGGAATGATTTTTAGAGAACTCCATCAGCATATAAAATGTTTTCTCGTACAATGATAAAAATGAGATGGACTAAGTCGGGTGACGGGAGCTTTAAAAGTGTATTAAAACAAATGTGAGAAGTTCATATGAAGGTATCTTAATTTCTGAATTTGATTGCTCCAGAAGAATTATTACATCGTTCGCAAGTAGGACAGAAAACACAATATATCGTGACTCCGAATATAAAACAATACTTTTAGAAGGGGTTACAACAATAACGCATACCGTTAGATGTAGTGTAAATTCTGCCTGCCCGCAATATAAAATCCGCTATATATATATACAATCAATATTGCCCACGTTTTTGATATCTCTCGTTGACTCACTTAATAGGTCCTCTACATCAGCGTTCCTTGTCCGCGATGCTCTCAGCGTAATTGCTGCCTTCGGCTGTCTTTAGCGGAGGGGACTATTGGTTTTATAAAATAGCTATATTTTCAATTATAGTATATCAATTCTATCTTCTTGTAATATGATGTATATGTACATGTAACTGTTCTTTTTCACTGTGTCTTGAAAATTTGACAACCTAAACTTGTCCACACTGTTGGAATTACTTCTTTGCCCCATATACAATCAATATTGATATATTTGTATTTCTTTCACAAATGTAAATTAGACGATGCACTCATGATCCATTGCAAATTTTGTTTAAAGTTAAATTTCGGTAATATTGACAGATAATCAATTTTTTAATATTATAAAATCGAATTTCTGTTAAGAGAGGAGACGTTAATTCACTTATGATTTGAAGAAGTATAAGGGAGATAACCTTGTGACACACGGGTATCGGTAGCAGTGTCTGGGAATACAACGCTACATTGTACACGCAGAAGGTAGGAAAAGTAATTATGTTTACTTACACAAATCACGTATATACTATTGAAGACAGGCATAGCACCAAAGCTGTACCATAACTTCTTAGACTGCTGTCAAGATGCGTTCCCAGCGCTGTTGTTGTTTACAACTTCAGTGAAGTAGGTCATTGTGCTCAGCTGTAATCGGCCTTGGGCTTCTCCAGCATGTGGGCGTTTCTTAGTAGACCGTAAAACAATCTGATTTCGAACCAGATAAGGAAACAAAGTAATGCTGAACAATTGTTAAACAACTCCGTACAAACGATTTAAAATCTTTATGAACAGGTGCATAGAAGGCTGATGCATATATGTCTATGAACTATAAATTGATAAGTCTTATATCAAGCCTGTGAATATATATACGCACGCTAACTTTGTTTGATATTGTATATATAATCAGGCCGTGGTTCATATAAACCCATTCTCAAAAGAACCTCGTGACCGGCTCCGCTCCACCCGTTCAAAGCGATGAGGAATTTTCTATATGCATTTATACCTCATTTACTAAATTTCTGAAAAACAATATACATAATATTATAATCACTTATTGGAAATGCAGCTTTAATTTACAATATGAAAAGTAGATGTAATTTAAGTGTTATTATATTGTAAGGTAATTTTAGAATCACAACACCATCTTCGAAATTCTACGGGTTGCGCTCAAGATGGCCGTGCACGTACATGCTTTTGCTACTAAGTATAGACAAACATAAGAGAATGTTTGTCGTCCCATTTATGGCCACAAAGATATAACTTGACCCCTGTCCCTCTGTCGATAAATCCCTAACAAGTTCGACAATCACTGAGGTTGGCCGTGGCCCATAGATATTTGGATTAATTCTGGCACGGTTTTATTTTTAACAATGTTGTAGCAAACTTTAAATACGCAACGTTTTCAAGGGACTTACAGACGCATTCCCCTTTTGCTGTATGACATATATACCTGTTACTGGATTGTGTTGTGTTTGTGATCGAGTCACGAATTCCTCTAGAAAATCAGAATAATCTAGTTTATCACAAACAACTATAATATACGTAGCAGGAACGGGAAAATGCACGACCAGACCGGGGTTCGAACCCGGAACCCTACAAACTCTAGACGAACGCTCTACCAAGTTGGCTACCTGGTCGCCGACGATCGACCCAGTCCAGTACCGCTACACTCCTCCTTCCTTTTTCTGAGTCTTCACCACCGAAGACACATCTATTTACAACCCCAGGTTCGGGTATCTCCTTGCGAAGCATTCACCTAGTACTTGAAACAAGGGTTTATCACAGAAACCAAATGCAACGCACTGCCATACCGGGGTTCGAACCATGGACCCTCCGAACTCTAGACGGACGCTGACGGTCAACAAGTCCAGTTCCGCTACATAAACAGCTATTCATGTAAGTCCTCTTCCTGCCTCTTTTTTATTTCGGAAACACAACCATCAACAACAAATAAGAAAAATCAACATCTATATATATACGACAGCTGTATTTGTACATATATTTCGGAACACGCTTGACATGGCTTTCACTCTTCAGACATTCAAATTAGTACCAATGGCGAGTCCTAAATTAAAGAAATGGTCAAAGGATGTAAAAGACATTTTGTCCTAAATTAAAGAAATTGTGAAAGGTTGCAGAAGAACCGTTGTCCTAAATTAAAGAAATGGTTAGAGGGTGCAGGAGACCCGTTGTCCTAAATTAAAGAATGGTTAGAGGGTACAGGAGACCCGTTGTCCTAAACTAAAGAAATGGTTACAGTGTGCAGGAGACCCGTTGTCCTAAATTAAAGAAATGGTTAAAGGGGTGCAGGAGACCCGTTGTCCTAAATTAAAGAAATGATTAGAGGGTACAGGAGACCCGTTGTCCTAAATTAAAGAAATGGTTAGAGGGTGCAGGAGACCCGTTGTCCTAAATTAAAGAAATGGTTAGAGGGATGCAGAAGACCCGTTGTCCTAAATTAAAGAAATGGTTAAAGGGGTGCAGGAGACCCGTTGTCCTAAATTAAAGAAATGGTTAGAGTGGTGCAGGAGACGCGTTGTCCTAAATTAAAGAAATGGTTAGAGGGGTGCAGGAGACCCGTTGTCCTAAATTAAAGAAATGGTTACAGGGTGCAGGAGACCCGTTGTCCTTAATTAAAGAAACGGTTACAGGGTGCAGGAGACCCGTTGTCCAAAATTAAAGAAATGGTTACAGGGTGCATAAGATCTATTGTCTGTGGTCCATCGTCCTTCTTCTCGTTTTACGCTATTTCTCAATAAGGACTGACCAGAGCTTTCTAAAATTCTGTAAGTAGCTTCTCAGTATGGCATGTCCATATTTTGAATCTGATCTGTAGAACACATGAAAAGGCCGACTTTGATTAGAATTGATTAACTTATTCCTGTAATTTTTATTAATTTATTAAATTTGCTTTATCGTCTATTTGATTTTGCATTTATTATCTTTAAGTTGTTTGCTCATTCCCAACAAGTCACTGCCTATATATTAATAACTTCAGGTCTCATGGTTTGAGTGCTTTAATTTACCAGACTCCTTTGACTTTGAATAACAGTCAATGTCATTACTGTTTACAAACAACTACAGGCTAAGTTTTAGCTCTAGGCCTCTTGGTTCTTCTTCAGATGACGCCCGTGGTACTAAACATAAGTCAAGGTCATTTCCACATTATAAAAATTCATATAGAGCTTTCTTCAGAAAGTCAGATAGTATGGCCAAGAAAATGTACACAATGTGGCCTTGACCTTGGGTGGTATGCCACACTGCCTTTCAATCCTACATTCCATTATGTTCGCTTCACATTCATTCTCACTCATCATGCGTCAATACATACTTTGCATTGCGAATATTTTGTTATGTTTTCTCAAATGCGTAACATGTGTAGGATAATAAGCCGAAAGGGTTCTGTTTACTGTCCATTCCCAACAGGTCATTGTCAGTCTAACAGATACGTGATCCAGCACTTCTTAAAAACAAAATGTTTTTTTTCTTTTTCAAATATACTGAAAATATTCGTGTAGTTGTACCATAAGGGATCACATCACTTGTGATGAGGAATGGCCTTCCATGAAGAAGTACTGGATCACGTATTTGTTTTACTGATATTCAGTATATTCAAGGATAATTCCATATTCGCGAAACATAAAAACAAACAGTTCTGCAACAAATGCTGACACGTTTTTCTGATCGTATATGAAAATAGGCATTTGGTCTCGAACGGATATCATTCAAAACCAATGTTTTCAAAGACAACATTTATTTCATTCTTTGAACTTCAAACTGTTGATCACTTTTCATGGGTTTAGTTTTAGAAAAGTATTTTCTCATCGACTAATGCATATCTACAGTACAAAACATTCGTTCTTCAGCAACACAACAAAGATACTACCTCGCTTGTATCTCTTTAAAGTTGACTATCATATTGTAACGTATATATGTTACCTTGCCAGCCAGAGATACAAATCAAATTTTACAGTATCTTCAATCGAAATCGTATGCTATTTGTACTTATTTTGACTAACTACTATTAATTTGATATATATTTGAGAAGAAAAAAATCATTTTGGTATGTTGCATTAAAACAAGGATATAATTTGTTATTATAACGTATCTGTTCACACAATTTGAACAAGTAACTTAATAACACATTTTAATATTGAAAACAACTTCACGAAAGCTCCATACGTAATTTAGCACCAAGGCGGCTTTAACTTAAACTGCCAAAAGTTAATACACTAGCGTACTTGTCCCTTTTTTCCAATCGTTACTCCCATTCAAAACTTAAACAGATACGTTACCATTCCAACATGTACGTTCCACATTATATTGGTCAAGTGTTATACTCATGCTTTAACATAATCACTAAAATAAAAATCGATTTAATGATCACTTATGATCAAATATATGCACCTATCTCAAATGTTCACATAAGCAAATCGATTTTATTTGGGAAAATAATGCACCAAAACAGAAACGTGACCAAAGTGAACTTATACGTTACATGTTTTCCAAGTGATGTGATCCCTTATCCTCACACATCCCACCCTTTTCTTTCAGAGATTTTCACTAATTAATCCTTTAAAATCCATTCGTAGTAGTGTAATTTATTTGAACATCTACAATAACGTACACAAATTAACCATTACTATATATGCATGCATGCCTGCCTTTGGATTTCCTAAGATTTGAAGATATTCCCATTGAAAACTAAGCAAGCTGATGCAAGTACAGTTTGTAAAAGGTCTAATTAAATTGATCCTATCAAAATCCCACGAAACAAAACTAGAATCTAGAGTATTTTTGTTAGGAGCTACGATTATAAAACCAACGTATAAAACTGTTTACGTCAGCAAAATTAAATTCACTCGGTATCACAATGTAAAACTTCAGTTTTATCGTGTAAGCTATAAACAAGAAATCTCAGAGGGATATTGGTGCCCACCATTGTACCATTAGTTCTTTGCCAGTTCAGGAGTAGGAAAGTGCCGCTTTTGGCACAGGGTCATTGAGTGCAGGTGCAGTCTCCTATATAATCCTTACCAGCATCCCGCACCACCCGATCACTTACGCTCTCATTAAAAACAAGAGATCCCAAAGGGATATTGACGCCCACCTTTGTACCATCTTCATTAGTTCTTTGACAGTTCGATCTTTTCTCTTCTTTCCTCTAATCTGTTCGAGTCATGTAAACAGTAAATGCACCTTGAGGTAACTTTTGATCTAAACTTAATACTGATACGTATGAAAGTCAGCCTTCAAAGTGAGTTTATCATTTCACATATTTACTAGTACAGTACTTAATGTGAAAGAAAGAGAATCGATCACTGCAATATGAGAAAGATCTGTTTAGTTCTTCTTTTAATCCATTTTGTTTTTATGATCAGTCTCAAAAGTTGCCCTGCACAGCTAAGGACCAAGGGGAACCTACATATAAAATTTGAGAAAGATCCCTCTGGTACTTCTTGAGAAATAACGATAACAAGAATTGTTTACGGACGGACGATGGACCACGGACGCAGGGTGATTTGAATAGCCCACCATCAGATGATTGAAAGCTAAAAACATCATTATCTGCCGCACTTCGTTTCCGTGCAATAACTATAAACACATGTTAACCGACTTTCTTCAAACTTGGTCAGGGGGTTAAATTCCTGAAGGGCTAGGCCAAGTTCGATGACCACTTACAGTGGACCGCATTTGGCAGAGTTATGGCCCCTGGAATAGCAAAAAAAAAACGACATTATCTGCTGCGTTTCGTTTCCATGCAATAACTGCAACAAATGTTAACTGATTTTCTTCAAACTCCATTTCGCAGAGACATTATCTGCAGTTTCCGCTTAATAACACTTAACAAATATTAGATAAGGCTTTTTTTCTTAGATTTTCAAGCTATGCTTTGTCTCAACAGCACGATATTCACATGTTTAAACCTCACCTCATTAATGTTTACCTAAAATATGTCCCGAAAACGGGGGGATATAAATTCCACGAATTTGCTTGGTTTTAATTTGGTACATGTAGTAAGTAAATACTGGACAAGGCATTAGGATCCTGTAACAAACACTTGTAACAAACCCCTCTGTTTGGAGCAAGGTTATGACACATCTTTGGGCTATGAGCAACAATGAAACGATAAAGTTCAATGAGAATCCAAGCTGGGATTTATCCAAAACATTTACAAATATTTCTACCATTGTCGGTACTGACATTTTTGTTTTGCTATACTCGTGTATTACAACTGGTAGCTAAGCCGGTCATATTTATTCTCAAGTATATACCAGTTACGACGACAAGATTATTTTGCAGAGATGAAAATTCTTGTTTTACCCATTGCAAAAGGTTTAACAGGAAATAATGATCAACCATGGTCAACAAAATGACCTGATCCCCAAAAAGTCCATCGCAACAAATATTGAAGCTTATCACTGGCATACATGGTCCAGGCCATTTCCCATCACTGGCCTGTCTGTATCAATCTGCCTATTTGCCAAACAACAAATAATTCCATTTCTAGCACACCTTCACAAATATAAGTTCATTAACATTTATAACTGTTTAAACCACCTACGAATGAATTCACAATTATATTTAATGTGAAATATTGCGAAAGTAGCAAATAGCTTGATATATATTGTGCCAGAATGTGTAGATTTGCCTTGCTATTGGTATAACGCTTGGTTTTTAAATGTTGAAGGACCCATATACAGACTTGCTAGGTAATTCTCTGCAAACTTGCATGCAATATTGAAAATATGAATTCCCACATTTCAAGACATAAAATATACAATGAAAACAACAGACAATATCCAATGACAAGGTTAATTTATTCAAAGAATGCACAATATGGTTAATAATAATGATTGAAAAATATAGAATGTTTTCAGTATTCCCAAGATTGCCAATATTTTTCATCAAATTTAAAAACTCAATTTGATCAACAACCCTAACAAATTTAAGAAAAGGCCTCTTGAAAAGTAAAGCTTACAATATCAATGGTGTACAGAAAGGAATTACATTTCAGTTGGCCAACATTTTATAAAAAAAACTTTCAAAAGAGCAGAGATTGGTTTAAAATCTGTTTCTAAACCAAGCTATGCATTTTTGCACTGGATAAAAAAAAAGTTTAACAGTGAATTGCGACTCAGAGATAAATTCCAAAATTGAAGTCACAATACATGATCGTTACAATTTCCTTGTCAATAACTTCACATCTAAAATGAATGTACAGTACAAAAATATGAAGATGAATGATATTACAACAATGAATAAAAAAGTCATCGTGGGACGACTAATATTTACTGATGAAATGGACAATGATGCATCAATCATGTCCCAACCAAACATGAAATTCAAAAACACTTGAATTTGATGTTATATTACGACCTAGATATTGATTACAACACCAAGGATTGAATGATAATTAGCATTCAGTACTGAGTACAAGTATTACAGAATAACCTTTTGTGTAGTAGATGCACAATACCTGAAGTGAAAATGGCTGCTCATGACCAGCAAGATACTAAAATGACAACGGAATGACAATGTACAAGTCTGAGTCACAAGTTGAACACAAATATTTACACTATTATAATAATAAAGCATGCCTGAAATTGTCACGATGAAAAATGTATTGTCACATAAAAGTACCACACAACATTTCGCTCCCTTGATAACTTCTCACCCAGTCATATTAACGAATTGTAAACACCTCAACAGAAACAAATTTTGTTGAAATTGATACAAATCTCAATATAAAGGTTTTCATTTCTCTCTGTATGTATATGATTCAAATTGATCTCATGTTATTAAAGTCTGTGATGAGTGGACAAGTCGGTTGTAACTCTTAGCGCCTGTTGTATCCCCCACCATTTCCGCCACCACCTCCTCCTCGGTTGTAATTCCCTTGACCCTGGTTGTAGGGAGTTGTTCGCTGCTGATTGTAGCCACCACCTCCACCACCACCTCGCATTGCTCCACCCCCATAACTATCACCATAGTTTTGTCCAAAGCTCTGCTGCTGGTTGCCACCCCAGGTTCCACCGGTGTTCTGAGTTTGATTGTTGTAACCACTGTTGTAGTTTTCGTAACCCCCGGTACTTCCTTGGTTCCAATCACCACCGCCACCTCCTTGGTTATAACCACCGCCTTGATTATAGTCATTGTATCCCCCCTGCTGGTTGTAGCCACCACCTTGGTCCCAGTCACTTCGACCTCCTCCTCTTCCCCCTCCCATTCCACCTCGACTACCACCGCGTCCTCCCATACCACCTCGACCACCACCACGTCCTCCCATTCCACCTTCTTGATCCTTAGGCACAGCCTTCTTTACTTCCACTGTTTTACCATTTACATCATGCCTCTTTTGTAACACGCATTGATCAACAGGGTCGTAGTCATAGAATGTCACAAAGCAAAACCTTTTGTTTTTGCCGGTGTTTTTGTCTTTGATCAAGTCTACTTTCTCAATATCTCCGTAATCACCGAATACTGCACGGATCTGATCTTCGGTAGCATCCTCGGAAAGCCCACCAACAAACATTTTCTTGCACGATTGTGATGATTCTCCTTCGCCACCATCTTTATTTCTTGGCATAGCACGCTTTGATTCTACTTGCCTGCCATCAAGTTTATGGGGACGATTCTTTTGTGCATCATTCAGCTGATCGGGATTCTTATATGTGATGAATCCAAAACCTCTTGAACGTTTGGTGTTCGCGTCTTTCATGACCACGCAGTCGATTACTTCTCCCCATTGTTCAAAATGACTCTTTAGGCTGTCTTCGGTGGTATCATAGCTCAGACCACCAATAAAAAGCTTCCTGAATTGTTCGTTTTCACGGTCTCCCATAGTTATTGGTGTTTGTATATATCGCAACTAGTCTTTCTAGTTCAACTCACCGCGTGGCTCCTAGACGTCTTGAACAATGCCGACCCACGCCTTACGATGCTTCCGGTGCGCGCCAATGTGATCGGTTTAACAAAATTACAAATTGGGAACGCATAAATGCGTTAAAAAAAGTTCCGTAATTATCGTCTTTTTTTTCACACAAAAAGGAATAAATAAAGGTGATTTAGCAGTTATATATGCTTTGTACTTCTCTACAAAATTAAATTAATTTAGTTTAATTTCGCCAAATATGTTACATATTGTTTCGTATCTTTGTAAAATAGGTAATATAAATCTGCCGTCAATGTTGTATATTCGGTTCTTTCCGCTAATTTCCGGTATTCATCACATGACAGGCGGGATTATAAACATCTACTTATGCCTTTATTCGTTACATTTTTTTTTGTATTTCAGCATATTTCGCGACAAATTGAAAATAAAATTAAAGTGGCGTTTGTCTATACGTAAACAAAGTAATTACCTTTTATTAGACTTGCATATGTCCCATCTTTGCCAAACTTCGACCACAAACTTCTACAGAAAAAGTAAATTCAGATGAATTATACTATAAATAATGTAATTTTCATTCCAAAAAAAGCAATTTGAATACAAACAAATCTTGTAAATCTTGTTCATCTGAATATAAACATCGATGAAGGACACAACACGATAACAAATTAAAACTGAAGATCTACCTTTAATTAGAGTTACTTCCCCTCTCTTACTGTTAGTGATAGCGAGACACGGCTCGTGTTGAGTGCCATATTTCATCAAGGATTTTCATCCTATTTTAATCCATTTTTTATTTCGCTAAAAGGTAGATTAAATTGCTTCGTTTTACTAGCATGCATTTAAAAGTGCAATTTACATACAATGACAAATTAATGTTTTTATTTCGAATTTTGATAGGCATTTGACATATTCTGACGTTTTATCGACTTTTTCATGCTGTATGGAGTAACACGAGTAGTTATTGATTAAGACTCATATGATATATGGTACAATTCTAGTTTAGTCAACAGTAATTTTAATATATCATACATGTGCTGATGATACTTCTCTAAGAAAGTCTTCTTCTTCGTGTCGAGAAATAGAATAAATTTGAAATAGAGATTTGGAAAGAAAAAAATAGGTGGGCTTTTAAAACTTAACTTGTAAATATTACTTTCAATCCAATCAAAACTGAGGTTTTTATATCAAATTTAAATGATATCATTGTCTACGTCATCACTTGTATATTTTTGAAATATTTTGTTGATAGGAGATGGCTTCATAAGTTGCTATAACTTGTGCCAAATCCTTTGTACCTATTTGGACAATAAAATATGTTTAAAGACAAAAATAAATATCATACATATATACAGGATAATTTTAAACATAAGCTACCTAACATGCGTCAGGGACTGTATCGGCTACGTGAACATACTCTTGAAATGGACCGTGGTAAATAAAACTCGATGAGATGTCAGATTCTGTAAAATATTAAAAAAAATATTGAAATTGAAATGCATTTTTCTTACAACTGTTTCCTATGATATCGCATATTGAACTCTGATGGGCTTTTTTTTATTGATGATCATAATGCCATCAAAGCATTATGTAATTTTAAATGTATAAAAAATACTGAATTTGCAATACTGCACAGTCCGCTGTCCGACAACTCTATTATAATTCTAGACAGAGGGATTTTGACAAACATTAAAGAGTTTCCTTTAGTCGTATTGTTATTAAATTTAGTTAAGTTAATCCTCTTTACAGGACTAAAAAGCATAACACTAAAACGTTAAAGTTAAGATGTTTGTCGATATGATTCAGAACGTAGAGGTTCGGGCCCTAACTACTCGTTCGTGTGTCTCCGCCGGAATTCCGGCATTGTATTTTTAGATAGATAATTACAAGAAAAGTATTTCACCTGCTGAAAGCAATTCTTAATCGAACAGTTATAGGACTCAAACGGTTTTTACGCAGAAAATTGAAGATGTCGGCCATATCCAATCATGTATAAGTCTACGAGCCAAAATGCGTAGTTATGAAGGGGAAAAAATTGGTTCAAAATTGATATTTGGTTGACAAACATGTAATATTCCGTTCGAAAGATACATTTCAGTAGGTTTAGTATTTTCACAACTTTTTCCGTAAAACCTTTTTCCAGGGTTATGCCACTGACTAAGTAGTATTCTGGTTAGACATACTTTGTTTGGTAGCTCCAGCAATGGACGTTTGTTTATGAGGATATTTGTATAATTCCGTGACCCTATTATCCATATTAAGGGAAATATATGCATCAACCGTTTATCACGAATTGTGTAATACTATAGGCAGGGAAGCTATATGATAAAACTTTGTATAATTTCGCCCTGTCCGTATGATCAAAACGGAGTCTGATTCAATGAATCTATAACAAGGCTTTTGTGACGTGTTGTTAGCTTACACCCTATAATTTTCACCCTCTGATATGATGTTATCTTATTTGAAGATTTTTTTTTAGAGACGTTGTATGTGATCCAAATACAAATGTATTAGAATAACTTTCTCTAGGTCGGCGGGTTACCTACAGTATCCAAAAACACACCGTACAGTCCGAGGCCTAGGTAACAAGATTTCAAGATTTTTCAAGATTTTTTTTATTACGCTCTGACACACAAAGTGTGTAACAAGAGGTCAAACAAAATAACATCAATCAAAATAAAACATGACAGAGAGAGTAGATTACACATGGACAGATTAAGCATTATTTCATAGACAGATTCAGCATTATTTCATAGACAGATTCAGCAATATTTCATAGATAGATTCAGCAATATTTCNGTCTACTGGTAAATTGATATTTCTGATTTTCCTATATAAAGCAAAAAAACTGATAGTACATTTACACAATAAAAATAGAGTAAATAGTTTGAGTGACATCTGTCATTCATAGCCATTGTCCTTTGAGACTTAGGCCGTACGTGACCAGGTAAGCCAATTTAGCTGTCCTTTGTCTAAGACTGAATGCAGTGTCCGATCTGGTATGACCAGTTAGCCCTGTTACGTAATAGAATTAAGTTAAAAGGTATATGGTATACGATGGACAAAGTAAATGCATAAGTTAATCTGACAACAATGATTCAAATGAAATATCTAAATTGACACATGTTTAGAGAGCTAATTGTTATAAACAATTTACACAAAATTAATAGTTCCGGCATATCAAAATGTCACTAGGCGGAATACATTCTAAGAAAATGCAAGGGTTGAAGTTTAAAAAACGACAAATTATGAATTTCAAGAGATATTAAATTAAAGTTCAAATTTAGCACTTTTATCATAAATTTCTTTATGATTAATCTATCGCATATTATCGCTACGCGTGCACGTGCTGTACCGCGACTCTCGTGTCATGTATATATGTATACTGGCTCATACCACGTTATTACACTCACTTCAATGTGAAGGTCACGATTTGGGGTCAAATGACATCATTATATTTAATATATTCGAAGGGATATTTCTATAACCTACGTCAGATTGAACTGATATACATATTGAATATATGATACAGTTGTGTGACTTGATATGATACTGTATCAAATACAGTTTTGCCTGTCCATATTGCTGATTCTTAATTAATGTCCTTTCCAACCAATCAAGATCAACATGTTCATATATTCAGATTCATCAATATGGCGAACCGACTTGGAGAGTTCTATGCACGTATTACCAAAGATCTGGACATCACCATGGACTTTTGGTTAAAACATTCACACGATGAGAATAATGGGTAGGACGTAGTTTATATGGCAAGCCAACATCAGGATCCCTGTACCACTGCGAAACCTGTATCTATGCATTGGAAACTGTTTTTTCCCGGCATGATTATTTAAAGCTTTGATCAATCATTACTTAAAAGAAAACAATTAAAACATTGCGTGACTTTTATGAACAAATAGGATAGAATAAACAAAAAATAATCAATAAAAAAAATCTGAGTGTAACATATCTCTGTAGTCAGACCAGGATTCGAACCCTGGTGCTCAGATTGTTATCAACTGTCTGACTACCTGATCAACGGAAGTACTTATCCTAAACGGAATTAAGGGGATGTTACTGTATGTACGAATCAACAGTGGAACTCTCTAGTGTTTTGCTTGCAGTGGGACAGGGACCCTTAAATAATACCCAAAGAAAGAAAATAGGAGTGATTCAGTGAATAAGATATGTCTAAAATTGAATTAAATTTAAGGTATACTTTAATGAATTCAAGATATATTTATAGGTAATAGAGATAAATATAATATATTTCAACGAAAGCATTTAAAATTATTGCCATATTTATTTTCGTAATTGCTTCAACCAAATTATTTATATTTAACTTAATCTAGATTGCCGCCAAATCGATAAATAAACAAGAAATCTTTTTTGTTTTTCAGGGGATTTTTTAATTGTCTCAGTAAAGATGGAAAGGTGTATGACCGACTGAAACACGTCTGGCTACAGGCAAGACAGGTATGTGGTAACGGTTACAGAAGGGACAGGTATGTGATGTCTGTTACAGGAGAGACAGGTGTTTGGTAACGGTAACAGGAGAGACAGGTATTTGTGGTGACGGTTACAGGAGAGACAGGTGTGTGGTAACGGTTACAGGAGAGACAGGTATATGTGGTGATGGTTACAGGAGAGACAGGTGTGTGGTAATGGTTATAGGAGAGACAGATATGTGGTGACGGTTACAGGAGAGACAGGTGTGTGGAAACGGTTACAGAAGAGACAGATATGTGGTGACGGTTACAGGAGAGACAGATATGTGGTGACGGTTACAGGAGAGACAGATATGTGATGTCTGTTACATGTGAGACATGTGTGTGGTAAAAGTTACGGGAGAGACAGGTATATGTGGTAACGGTTACAGGAGAGACCGGTGTGTGGTAAAAGTTACGGGAGAGACAGGTATATGTGGTGACGGTTACAGGAGAGACAGGTGTGTGGTAACGGTTACAGTAGAGACAGGTATGTGGTGACGGTTACAGGAGAGACAGATATGTGGTGACGATTACAGGAGAGACAGATATGTGGTGACGGTTACAGGAGAGACATGAGTGTCGTAACGGTTACAGGAGAGACATGAGTGTCGTAACGGTTACAGGAGAGACAGAAATGTGGTAACGGTTACAGAAGGAACAGGTATACGATGACTGTTACATGAGAGCCATGTGTGTGGTAACGATTACAAGAGAGACAGGTATGTGGTAATGGTTACAGGAGAGACAGATATATGTGGTGACGGTTACAGGAGAGACATGTGTATGGTAACAGTTACAGGAGAGACAGATATGTGGTGACGGTTACTGGAGAGACAGGTGAGTGGTAATGGTTACAGGAGAGACAGATATGTGGTGACGGTTTCAGGAGAGACAGGTATATGTGGTGACGGTTACAGGAGAGACAGATATGTGGTGACGGTTACAGGAGAGACAGGTATGTGGTAACGGTTACAGGAGAGACAGGTATATGTGGTGACGGTTACATGAGAGACAGATATGTTGTGACGGTTACAGGAGAGACAGGTATATGTGGTGACGGTTACAGGTGAGCCAGGTGAGTGGTAATGGTAACAGGAGAAACAGATATGTGGTGACGGTTACAGGAGAGACAGATATGTGGTGACGGTTACAGGAGAGACAGGTGTGTGGTAACGGTTACATGAGAGACAGATATGTTGTGACGGTTACATGAGAGACAGGTATGTGGTGACGGTAACAGGAGAGACAGGTATATGTGGTGACGGTTACAGGAGAGACAGGTATATGTGGTGACGGTTACAGGTGAGACAGGTGTGTGGTAACGGTTACAGGAGAGACAGGTATGTGGAAACGGTTACAGGAGAGATATGTGTTTAATTATTGGAACAATATCTATACAGCTTAATGTGACGAACTTTATGCGGTCTTACGTCTTTATAGATTTTGGCAACTAGATTATTTGTTTTCTTCACTTTTAGTGATTAATCGGGAGCTACATGAAATAATGCAGTGGTCACAATAATGACAGGTTATTTATTGATTACTTGAACAGGTATGGACATACTGTCGCCTTTACAACGAAGTGGAGCGATTCCGACGACCAGACATCTTACAGACAGCTATTAAAGGTCAGTACACCTACCATACATATACTTATCATGTAATCATGTCCGACTATCGAGCTACTACTTATCCGGTTACAGCTGTCCGCTATCTAACTAAAACTAAATCGGTTTACCCACTATCGAGTCGCCACTAATCCGGTTGTTCTGATAATTGGCCACCACTTTACTGATTACCGACTGGGCTAGTGAGCGTATGCCATGGCGCGGCGTCAGTCGTCCGTCGATCCGTCCGTCCGACGTCCGTCAACTTTTCCTGAGGAATGGAAAGGCCACCCTAGAGTCATGATATTTGGCTGAAAGCTTCATTGGTTAAAGACGAAGTTTGCAAATGAAAATGACCTTGATCTACTTTCAAAGTCACAGGGGTCAAACATGGCAAACATTTCAAACGATTTCTTTTGAAGAACTGAAAGCCATATAATCTTAATATTTGGCTAGTAGCTTCTTGGGATGGAGCTCAACAGAGATTGCGGGTAAAAGACATCGACCTTCTTCCAAGGTCACAGGGGTCAAATATGTAAAAAAAAAATCAAACAACTTCTTCTGAAGAACTGAAATGTATATAATCTTAATATTTGACTGGTAGCTTTTGGGATGAATCCTGACGAATGTTGCGAATGAAAATGAAATTGACATTGACCTACTTTGAAAGTCACAGAGGTCAAATATGCCAAAAACTCCAAACGACTTGAAGAACTGAATGTATAGAATATCAATATTTGGCTGGTAGTTTCTTGGGAGCCCAACAAAGTTTGCAAATGAAAATAACCTAGACTGTTACAAGGGCCAAACATTTCAAACAACTTCTAAAGAAGAACCAAATGGCATAGAATCATTATGTTTGGCTGGTAACTACCACAGATGCAGCCTGACAAATTTTGCGACTAAAATGACCTCGACCTACTTTCAAGGTCACAGGGATCAAATGTGTTTACATCTTTAAATTACCTTTTTTTCCTGAATAACCAAAGGACTCATGGTGATAACATTTGACCAGATGCATGATAGAATCATGGGATGGCTATCAATTGTGTTAAAATGAATAGTTTTATCCTTTATGTTTAAGGTCACAGGGGTCAAATGGTCTGAACAAATCAAAGTATTTCTTCTGAATATCCAAGAAGAGGCCTAGAGTGATGATATTTGACCAGTGTTTAATGGAATGACCTTGGCCTACTTTCTTGGTCATATGGGTCAAATGTGTTAAAATCCTGACATGACTTCTTCTCAATAACCAAAAGCCACAGGGTGATGCTGTTTGGGATTAAGGGATACCAAGTTTGTCCAGCTGAATGACTTTCAAGGTCACTGGAATAAAATCAGATTGTTTTAAATATTATAAATCAAGAGTCATAGGTAAGGATAGTTACCCAATAGTTTTATTTAGGCTAAATAAGTACATATGACTTGGTCCACTTTTAAGCTTAAAAGTGTGGGAATAATAGCAGGTGAGCGATACAGGCCCTTTGGGTATCTTGTTCAAAAGTTTCAATCTTAATTGTTTCCCATTGTATGTATATTATAACTATACTTGATTATTAACTAAAAGAATACTGTTTAAACTAAACACACAACTGATTCGGAATTTTACTGAAAATAAAGTGTATCACCTTATACTTATAATTTTAGGAATGAACTTTCTACAAAAACACGCTAAGGACCCGCAGACCTGGAAGTGCCACCTGGTACTGACAGAGGACGGCAAAGCCGTAAAGACCCAGCGCTCCATCTTCTCGGAGTGTTTCTATCTGATGGCTCTGTCCGAGACAGGCAGAGCGAGCGGGGACAATACTTACATGGTGCATTCATTCATTTAATTCAACTGGAATTTTAAAATGATTCAAATCTTTTAAAGCTATACGCCACTTTTAGACCTTGAGAGTATGATGTTTGATGTTTACTTCATTACTGTCAACGTGGTCTTAACCTTGAGAATACTGACCTGTGTGCGCAACCGACTTCATATCCTTTCTTTTTTTCAAGTTCGAGTTCATGTGTAAAAGCCGACGTTTTCTTCAGTCATAAAACACATACTAAAGGAAGTTTTCGCACTTACTGTTCTAACAGTCAAGTTTTTTTTTCTTTGACCAATTGATGTGACTTTTGACCTTGACCTATATTCTTTGTACCATTGATGTGACCTTAACCTTGGACAACGAACAGTGTTCGATACACACCTTCTAGTCATAACGTATATGTACTTATCAATGAACAGTCATCAAACAATTGTTATCGGTTCAGAAGGTACAGTCTGTAAATTTGACAAATCCCTTGCTGTGACCTTGACCTTGTGAAAGAGATATTGCTTATAGCTATAATGTTTTGAGATGGTTTTATTTGCCCTATTATCACTGTTTGAATACATTAATTCAAAGAATTCAAAGTTCAAACAAACTTTAGCAAGTGATGTAGTGCGAAATGAAAAGAGCAACTTGAGCCTGAGAGTGCCACGGTGAATTCCATCCGTATCCACGACAACTTCAAGTGATGGTCTGTTGAATAGGCTCATTTTGACACAATTGTGTAATTGTAAACTCTTCATTAATACATATATGTGTGACCTTAGCTACTCTTTATTAGACCATAGCTGTTGATAGGACGTAAAAAACAAATCTTTATTTCAATGACTCCTTAGGCAGAGGCCTTACAGATGATGGACAAGATAGTGTTCTGGGTTCGCGAGGACGACACAGACTTGGGACAGCCCGCTATGGAGGGTGCGGTGTCCACCAGCTCACTCGCTGTACCCATGATGCTGATGTGTTTGATTGATCAGCTGGAAACAGTAGACCCAACACTGGAAGTCAAGTACAGGGATCTCACAGGCTGGTGTCTGACAGAGGTCAAGAAACATATCCAGGTAAGTTTGGTTAATGCAGATCCTTGAGTTCAATAAAAAAAAACCACCACCACATGTAAATCAAAATGAAAAGTATTGTAAAATGATTATCATACCATTTCTTTGAAAGAAAACATTTCAAACTTGGCTATTCAATCCAAAATTATTCTTTTAAAATAGTCCATGCACGTGATCTCATTCTGTGCTCCGAAATCACAGAGAAAATGTTATTTATTTATTCTTATTATCAGTCACCAATAGGCTTACACTGTTTACAGAGGGACGGATCTGTTATCTTGGAGAATGTGAGTCCGGAAGGGGAGGAACTCCCAGGAAGTATGGGGAGGTTGATGCTACCAGGCCACTCCATCGAGGCTGGCTGGTTCCTACTGCAGCACGCCATCAACAAGAGTAAGGACGACCTGAAAAAGATGGCCATTGACAAGTTCATCCTAAACCCTTTCCAGTACGGCTGGGACAAGACACACGGGGGACTGCTGTACTTCCTGGACGTGGACAACTGGTCACCAACACAACTCGAGTGGGACATGAAACTGTGGTGGGCCCACAACGAGGCTCTCATAGCCTTCCTCATGGTGTACAAAGAAACCGAGGACACCAAAATGATTGACATATTCGCAAAAATATTCGACTACAGCTACTCCCACGTAAGAAATACGCATGTTTATACTTAAAATACTGTCTAGGTATTGTATTGTCATATTGTTAATTCAGATGATATTTATTTGCCGCTTTATTAGTTTCCAGTTAAATATGAATCCCTGAATTAGGAGTCCCTATTTAAATATCAAACTAGAACACTGACAGGTCAGTAAGGACCCCGTCTTGTGGAAATATATACCCCATAATCATCAAGAAGCAATCTGCCCATATAGCTGAGCTTGACGTTTGACATTTGGACTTCAAAAAGAATCACAAGGAAGCAAAATATACATTTTACATGTACTATGATGTGAGTCTTGTTTCCTTCCACCTCCACATTTGCTGGGCTAACAGAAATGTAAATACCGGTGCAATACTCATTTGTTAGCTTTGAATTGTTTTATTTCACCTTATTTACCTCCTCCATCAAGAGCCAGGGTCAAAGTCAGAGATCCACATTGTCTTTGACCTTTGGACCCAAAAGACCTTGACCATAAACCCAGTGACCCTGATCTTTG